AAAGTTATTATATTCACATCTCAGGTTAGGGAAACTCCAATTTTTATTTTCATTTTTTAAAGAATTATTTATTTTATTTGAAAGTCAGAGTTACATAGAGAAGGAGAGGCAGAGAGAGAGAGGGAGAGGGAGAAAGGGAGAGTGAGAGAGAGAGAGAGAGGTCTTCTATCTGCTGGTTCATTCCCCAATTGGCTGCAATGGCTGGAGCTGTGCCAATCTGGAGCCAGGAGCCTCTTCCAGGTCTCCCATACGGGCACAGGGACCCAAGGACTTGGGCCATCCTCCACTGCTTTTCCAGGCCATAGCAGAGAGCTGGATTGGAAGTGGAGCAGCTGGGACTCGAACCGGCATCCATATAGGATGCCAGCACTGCAGGCGGTGGCCCTACCCTCTATGCCACAGTACCGGCCCCTCCAATTTTTATATCCAGTTTTATGGGACTGCTAGGTTTAACTTGTGTCATAACAGCCAGACTTCAACCTGAACAAAATAGATGGTGTGGTAAACAGAAAATTAGACCCTCTCCCCTACCCCAAAAAACACCTATACCCTAATCTCTAGAATCAGCAACTATTAGATTATCAGGTGGGCCCACGATGATCAGGTGAGCCCTGGAAAGTAGAGCGTTTTTCTACCTGAGGATGGAAGAGGCAGTCAGAGAAACTGACTAAGCGTGAGATGGACTAGTTAGGCAAGCCATGGTTGCCTCTAAGGTATACAGGAATACACACACAGAAAGGAAGAGAGGGAGCGAGGAAAAAAGGAGAAAAACTTAACTAAGTGAGGTAGGTAAGTTAATTTACTTGATCATGGTAATAATTCCACTCTATTTGAATTTCAAAACATCATGTTTACAATTAAAAGATAAATCTTAAAAAACCATATATATTTATTTATTTGAAATGCAAAGTTACACAGAGAGGGAGAGACATAGAGAAAGAGATCTTCCATCTGCTGGTTCACTTTCCAAATAGCCACAACTGCTGGAGCTAGGAGTTCCATCCAGGTTTCCATCATCTGTGGCAGGGGTTCAAGTACTTGGTCTATCCTCAGCCACTTTCGCAGGCATATTAGCAGGGAGCTGGATAGAACGGGAAGCAGCTGAGACTTAAACTCACGCTCTGATGTGAGATGTTCATGTCACGTGGCTTAAGCTGCTTTGCCACAACATCGCCCAAAATCTATACAGTTGAAAAAATACACACATGGAAAGCTGGAGAAAGGCATATAGCGCTAGGGCAAGTGCCAGCTGGTAGCTACCAAAAAACAGGGATCTCAGGCCTAAAGCTGAACTTTGCCAGCAGCTTGAATGACTTGAGAAATTGGTGGTTCTGGGACTGGCCCTGTGACGTAGCAGATAAAGCCACTCCCTGCAGTGCTAGTATCCCATATGGGTGCTGGTTCGAGTCCCAGCTGCTCCATTTCCCATCCATCTCTCTGCTATGGCCTGGGAAAGCAGTTCAGATGGCCCAAGTCCTTGGGCCTCTGCACCCACATGGGAGACCCCAGAAGAAGCTCCTGGTTCCTGCCTTCAGATAGGCACAGCCTCAGCCGTTGTGGCCAATTGGAGAGTGAACCAGCGAATGGAAGACCTTTCTTTCTCCTATCTCTTTGTAACTCTTGAGTTTCAAATAAATAAGTAAATAAAAAAAAAAAAAAGAAATTGATTGTTCTCCAGAGAGGAATGCAGACCTACTAACACCTTGATTTTAATTTTGTGAGACCATAAGCAGAGAACTTAGTTGAGCCAAACTGTGCTTGGATTTCTGACACATAATAATTATGAGATAATAAATGGGTGGTGTTTTAAGTTATTAAGCATATAGTAATTTGTTATAGCAGCAATAGGAAACTAACACTGAGTATGGAAAGAGGTGTAACCAAATAATTTCTTTAGGACTAGAATAAAGGACGCATAATTGTATTCATCTACAACATTGTATATCATACTGAAATGTTGAGAGCCATAATAAAAAAAAGAATAGTGTGGCAAGTTCAAAACTGTGGTTTTATTGTTTGGTTATGCCAACAATCTTAGCACCTATGTTTTCATATATTTCATTGTTTGTACTCTTTCTTAAGTATTATGTAAATATATATATCTTTATAAATTATTTGAGAGGTAGAGTTACAGATAGAGAAAGGGAGAGACAGAGAAAGGTCTTCCATCCCCTGGTTCACTCCCCAAATGGCCACACAGCTGGAGCTAGAAACATCTGAAGCCAGTAGCCAAGAGATTCTTCCAGGTCTCCCATGTGGGTACAGAAGCCCAAACACTTGAGTCATCTTCTACTGCTTTTCCAAGCCATAGCAGAGAGCTGGATCAGAAAAAGAACAGCTGGGACTCGAACCGGCACCCATATGGGATGCTGGCACTGCAGGTGGAGGCTTAGCCTACTATGCCATAGTGCTGGCCCCAGTATGTATATCTTATTTTTCAATTGATGTTGGAATAACTTTATGTTATTAAATAATCTTAATCTTCATTTCTTATACTTCAATAATATTCCAACATTTGACTCTGTTATGCTTTGAAATTTCTTTGGTAATATTCTAGTATTCATTCTTTGTTTCCCCTATGATTATCATTTTCTTTGCACTGGACAATTGCAGGTAAAGAGATATCTAAGTCAATCTGTAAGGGGATTTTTGGATAATAATTATGTGCCATTGAAGCTCACATTGTATGATTTTTTTAAAAAAGATGAATCTTGAAGTTGACAACCATTTTCATCAGCACATTCTATTTTGAACCTTCAGCTAACACTTAAATTATGGTTGGCTTATAAATAAAATTTACTTATAAATTTTTATATAAAATGGAATTTGAAATTTTGGGTAGTAGTTGGTAGTATGTAGAGTTTTAAGCCCTTTGAGTTGTAATAAGTACAAGAGTTTTACACTGCCTTTGATTGAAGCAATAATAAAAAAAAATAGTGCATATACTAAAATATACCATAGTGCTTTTATTCATTATTTATTCAAAAATATTTCTTGAATATATATCATATGCCATGTACTGTATTAGAGACCTTGAATATAATGCTCAATAAAAGAGTCAAGTCTGAGCTTTCAAGGAGTCATTGTAGAGTGGGGAGAGATATGCAGGGTACAGTTTATAAAAAATTAGCATTCTATCAGATGAGTAAGTGCATTGAAGAAAAATATAGCAGGGTAAGAAAATAGAGAGTGATAAAACATTCAATTTTAGACACAAAAATGAAAAATTTGTAAAAGATTTTATTTATTTAAGAGGTAGAGTTACAGACAGAGAGAGGAGAAACAGAAAGAAAGATTTTCCATCTGCTGGTTCACTCCCTAAATGGCCACAGTGGCTGGAGATGAACCAGTCCGAAGACAGGAGCCAGGTGCTTCCTCTGGGTCTCCCACATGGGTGCAGGGACCCAAGTACTTGGGCCATCTTCTACTGCTTTCCCAGGCCAAAAGCAGAGACCTAGAGAGGAAGATAAGCAACTGGGACACAAACTGGCGCTCATATGGGATGCTGGCAGTGCAGGTGGAGGCTTAGCCCACTATGCCACAGCACCGGCCCCAAAAATGAAAATACTGATGGCTGAAATATAAAGAAGAGGAAAGAAACTTTTGATAATATAAAGACATAGTGGATAAAAATAGCTGTTTAAATGTGATTTTTGTGATATTTCATATAGGGATATATTATATAAGTAAATTTAGTGTTAAATTCCTCAAACTTTCTTTGTTCTGTTTATAACTCAGTTTTGTTGGAGTGTTTATTGATTTGAAGTATTTCATTGATTCTACCTTATTTTCTTTTGTTGGGTTGCATCACAATCTTTATTTTTAAAATTTTGTTTATTATTTATTTGAAAGGCAGAGTGACACAGGAAGCGAAAGAGAGAGATCTTCCATCACTGGTTTATTCCCGAAATGGCTGCAACAGCCAAGGTTATGCTAGTCTAGGCCAGGAGCCAGAAACTCCCAATCCAAGTTTCCCACAGCAGGAATTCAAGTACTTCAGCCATAATCTGATGCTTCCTAGGCACATTAGCAGGGAGCTGGATCAGGGGTGTACTTGCCAGAACACGGATGGCAACTTAACCCACTGTGCCACAATGCTTACCTCCCATCACAGTCTTGATTCTCTGTTAGGTTATTAATTTTTTAATATGTTGTACTTCATAGACAACAATGATTAACATTGATTTCACAAGGATTAAAATTACATATTATCTTCAATTAATAAAGGTATATTATTTAAGAGTAGAGAAATATCAAATTAGCTCTGTATTGATGTCTACATCATTGACATTTATAATTAAAACTATTTTTGAATAGATGATAAACTTAATATGATAAATTTTCTTTGTATCAAATAGCTAAAGTAACTTTCTTCAATGAAAATAAGATTTATGTAGATAATGGAAAATGCTAACTATGTTGTTTGAACAGTAAATGAGAATTTCAAATCATGGAAGTTTAATTGGTTAGACAGAATTAATGTGAAAGAAAAACATTGCTTCAAACAAAGGAAAGGTATGAATAATCTCTACCTTTCTGTCTCTTCCTGACTTTCTTTTAGAATATCTTAAATTGTGGGCTATGGATGACCTTAGAAAACTATTTTACTAAATATTTTTTTCCTAGGATCTAGTCAATAGCATATCTGTTTAAAATATACAATTAGGATTCATAACATTAAGAAACAAACTCCAAAGGAAATATATTGAAACTGTTCATATCTATATTTAGAATTTCTTACTTTGTAATATTTTAAGAACAAACGTAGTTTTTGTTCAAATAACTTTTTTTTGAAGATATTATGTATGTGAAGATTTTAAGATGTGCTTTAAAAAGTTGAGAAATAAGGACTTGAGGGTAGGAATTATCCTTTTTATCTTATTTGTAGTCTAATATAAAGCATGATAGTTTTCAGTTATTAATACATTTGTAAATATTTAGGAAATCCTCAGATGGTCATTTCCTGTATTAAAGTTGCATTTTTATTTTATTTTTTTCAGTGTACAATTATGATCCAGATGTGGATGTGAACGAGTGTGGTTAGACTGAATATTCAATAATGAGTGGTGCAGCTTTGGGACTCGAGATTGTTTTTGTCTTTTTTCTGGCACTATTTCTACTTCATCGATATGGAGACTTTAAGAAACAGCATAGACTTGTAATTGTTGGAACTCTGCTTGCTTGGTATCTCTGCTTTCTTATTGTCTTCATATTGCCTCTGGATGTCAGTACGGTAAGAGGTGAAACTGATTTTCATATTTAAAAAGGAACTTGTAATCCTTCCACATGTTTGAGATACATTAGTGTTTTTTAAAGACTTTTTTTTTTTATTTATTTGACAGGTAGAGTTATAGATAGTGAGAGAGAAAGAGACAGAGAGAAAGGTCTTCCTTCTGATGGTTCACCCCTCAAATGGCCGCCACTGCCAGAGCTGCACCAATCTGAAGCCAGGAGCCAGGTGCTTCCTCCCGGTCTCCCATGTGGGTACAGGAGCCCAAGCACTTGGGCCATCCTCCACTGCCCTCCTGGGCCACAGCAGAGAGCTGGACTGGAAGAAGAGCAACTGGGACTAGAACCGGCACCCATATGGGGTGCCGGCGCCGCAGGCGGAGGATTAGCCAAATGAGCCATGGTGCTGGCCCCAGAGATACATTAGTTTTTGTTTTTGTTTTGTTTTTGACAGAGTGGACAGTGAGAGAGAGAGAGACAGAGAGAAAGGTCTTCCTTTGCCGTTGGTTCACCCTCCAATGGCCACCGCGGCCAGCGCGCTGCAGCCGGCACACCACGATGATCCAATGGCAGGAGCCAGGTACTTATCCTGGTCTCCCATGGGGTGCAGGACCCAAGGACTTGGGCCATCCTCCACTGCACTCCTGGGCCACAGCAGAGAGCTGGCCTGGAAGAGGGGCAACCGGGACAGAATCCGGCGCCCCGACCAGGACTAGAACCCGGTGTGCCGGTGCCGCAAGGCGGAGGATTAGCCTAGTGAGCCGCGGCGCTGGCCGATACATTAGTTTTTAAGATAGCTAAATCGTATAAGGATATGCTTATATTTTGAATTTAAATGCTAATTTCAGAATTGATCATTAGAAAGCATAGTCAGGAAGGTAGATTTAAGAAGATAGATTTATAAACTCCAGTGTGTTCCTTGATGTTGGTTTGATTCTTATTTGGTTTTTATATTATTTGGTATTTGATATTGGTTTGATTCTTGATAACAGTTTGATTCTTAGTTTTAACCATGCATCCTTTCATGTAGACGATATACAACCGATGCAAGCATGCTGCTGCTAACTCCAGCCCTCCTGAGAATAACAACACTACAAGATTACATGCAACTGCTAATCCAGCTCCAAGGTATTTATTTCTTTCTAAATATTAATATTATAGGAGATAAAATGTTTTGCTTTGTTTTAATTTATTTATTTGAGAGACGTAGAGAAACAGATAGCTGTCATCCACTAGTTCACTCTCCAAGTGCCTATAATGTCTGGGGATTAGCCATGCCAAAGTCAGGAGCTGGGAACCCAATCCAGATATCCCACAAAGATGGTAGGACTCAGGCATTTGAGCCATCATGCTAACTCCCAGGGCACACATTAGCAGGAGGCTGGAATTGAAAATGAGGCTAAAGGCCGGCGCCGCAGCTCAATAGGCTAATCCTCTGCCTTGCGGCGCCAGCACACCGGGTTCTAGTCCCGGTCGGGGCACCAGATTCTGTCCCGGTTGCCCCTCTTCCAGGCCAGCTCTCTGCTGTGGCCAGAGAGTGCAGTGGAGGATGGCCCAAGTGCTTGGGCCCTGCACCCCATGCGCGGTGTGCCGGCCGCAGCGCGCCGGCCGCGGCCATTGGAGGGTGAACCAACGGCAAAGGAAAACCTTTCTCTGTCTCTCTCTCTCACTGTCCACTCTGCCTGTCAATAAATAAATAAATAAATAAATGAAAATGAGGCTGAGACTTGAACCCATGTGTTCTCATAGGGGATGTGGAGTTATTAACTGATATCTTAACGGTTATACCTAATGTCTTCTCTGTTAAGTCATTTTGAAATAGTCATATTTTACCAACTGTTCCTCCCACTTCTGTACTGGTAGACTTCATTAGATTGTATTCTATTTAAATTGGTATTTTAAATATTTATTGGTATACAACAACTTTCAGTAGACTGTAGTGAGAAGTTTGAAGGTATGATTTTTTAGTACAGTTCTTCTTCCTACTAAATATGTTACTTCCAAAACGTATGTTTTTTCTCAGCCTGTCTCAGATCTAAGAAAATGGAGCATGCATTTTCTCTTTTGCCTAATTTACAAAGTTGTGATAAAAGACAAGCAAGTTATTCTGTACATTAGATATTTCTTTCTTATTGCATACCTTTTGAAATTATTTTTCATAAAGAGTGAATAAAATTAAAATTGTCAAAGATTATATTGAGTTCAAATGAAATTTTCAGGTTAAAAAATGAATGTTGACTTAGCTTTTACCAATGGTTTAAGTAGTATTTGTGTACAGCTTTAAAAACTAGCTTGAGTAAAGGTAAATTTGCAATGTGTTACCACCCTCTTGAAACAATGCTCAAAACTGGATGTAGGGGTGAACATTTAACTTAGCAATTTTTTAAAAGGTTGATTGATTGATTGATTGATTTGAAGGTCAGAGTTACACAGAGAGAGGAGAGGCAGAGAGAGAGATCTTCCATCCGCTGGTTTATTCCCCAGTTGGCCACAAAGGCTGGAGCCACGCAGGTCCAAAGCCAGGAGCCAGGAGCTTCTTCCAGATCTCTCATGCAGGTGCAGGGGCCCAAGGACTTGGGCCATCTTGTACTGCTTTCCCAGGCCATAGCAGAGAGCTGGATTGGAAGTGGAGCAGCTGGGACTTGAACCAGCACCCATATGGGATGCCGGCACCACAGGCGGCAGCTTTACCTGCTACGCCACAGCACTGGCCCCTTAACTTAGCAATTAAGATGCAAGTTAAGATGCCTAGGTTCCGTGTCGAAGTACCTAGAATGGGTATCTGTTTATGGCTCCTAATTCCAGCTTCCTGCTAGTGCAGACCTTTGGAGGCAAGAGTGATGGCTCAAGTGATTGGGTTCCTGCTGCCACATGAGAAACTTTGATTAAGTTACCAGCTCCTGGCTTGAGTGCCAGCCAGGGCATTGCAGGCATTTGTGGGAGAGAATCAGTGGATGGGAGCTCTCTCTGTCTCTCTGCCTCAAATAAATAGTAAAAATTAAATGTTAAGGGAAAAAAAACCTGGACGAAAATCAGCAGCAGTTGCAGATTGTTGGAAGCCCTTGGATTAAAGGATATCCTTATAGTGTAAGAAGACTATAGTAAATGAAAGTCTCTATGATCGGAGACTCATCATATCCTTAAAAAATTCGGACAGAATTTTGTGTAGGTGATAGTTAGCATGGAATTCTATTAGAGCTATGCTATTGTAACTGATTTAATTAGCATTCCTTTGTCCAGGAATTAATTACCTAATGTCTTCCCTTTCCCATAACCCAACTCCATGCAGACAATAAATAAAACAAAAAAACCAACCCTACAAATGAGATGAGTGTGTATTTCAAAGGTATTCATTAGAAATTTGATTTCAAGATATCTTTACTTTTAAAGGCTGCTGCATTCTGTTAGTTGAACATTATGCCCTATTTTTACCTAATGACTGAAAATACACTGAAAGCTGAGAACCTAAATTGCATTCATCTCTAAAACAAGCTATCTTATTCCCTTTCTGTGTGCTTCTTTTCAGTTTTGTAATCAGCTTCAAATTTTAAGAATTCTATGAAACATTATGAGTGAGAGTCAGTAGCTTAAAATTTGCCTTTAAATGAACTTTGCTATGTGCAAATTAGTTGTAAGATTCATCTAGTCATTATTTATGATTAATTGGCTTTCTCTTGTTATTAAACAGCCAACACCCATGTTTTAAGCCATGGAGTTACATTCCTGATGGAATCATGCCAATTTTCTGGAGGGTAGTATATTGGACATCACAGTTTTTAACATGGTAAGTTAATTTTTTATGTTAAATTTTTAAAATTTTAGGGGCTGGTGTTGTGGTGCAGGAAGTTAAATCCCCCCACTTGTGACTTAAGCAACCCATAGCAGAGTGCCAGTTTGAGTCCCAGCAGTTCGGCTTGCAAACCTATTTCCAGCTAATGTGCCTGGGAAGGCAGTAGATGATGGCCCAGGTGCCATCCACTGCCATCCACGTGGGAGACCCAGGTGGAACTCCTGGCTTTGGCCTGTCCCAGCCCTAGCTGTTGGAGCCATTTGAGGAGTTGAACCAGCTGATGAAATATCTCCCTCTCCCCAAACCCCTCCTCAAGTGTGTCCCATCTTAAAAAAAAACAGTAAAAATAAAAAAGGTAAAGGGAAAACACATAAACTGTTTGTCACTATTTCCTTCCAGAGACTTATTTCTCTCGACCTTCAAACCAGTCTTCTTCCAGCCCCATTATTATGTGAAACTGCACTTGATAAGGTTATAATTATTCCTGGATTTTCTTTCTGTTTTCTTAGGCCAACCTTCTAAATTTCCTTCCTGGAAATTGCCTTCAGTTCTGTGGCTCATTTCCTTAGAAGCTGGTCTTCCCTAGAGTCTTACCTCTAATCATTCTGTCTGATTCTCCCTGTACAGTTGATGACCATGGTTTCATTGATTAGTAATTAATTCCAAATCTTTATTTTTACCCATTATGGCTTTGTCTTTCTCTTGTGTTCCACTGCGGTCTTTTATTCTGCCAGCAACAAAGTTCTAAAACTGGTGATCGAGAACACTGCAGGAGAAAAATCACTATATAGAAAAATCCCCTATAGACTCATGTTCTTAAACTTTGCTGGGCTCTCAACCTTGCCAGACTTCCCTTCTTTGTTTCATTAATCTGCTTGCTTGCCATTCAATACAACAAATATTTCCAGTCATTCTACTATTGATATCCTCTTTGTGGCTCTTTCCTACTCCTCCCAAAAATCACATCGACTCTTACCAGGTGACATTACCTTCTTCTACCTTACTGTGAAAATAGAAGTCATCAGATAGCAGTCTTTCAGTTTCTTCCCAGCAAACATACCTACCTACCTACCCATTCTTTCTGCCTTCCTCTCCAAGGGTGGAAAAATCACTCTTGCTAAAGCTTATGCCTCTTCCTAAACTATGGGCTTACCCACCTTCAACTCTTGGTGCCTACTTATAGCTTCCAATTTCCACAAAGCATGCAATTTTCTCATCCTTTAAACATAAAAGAAAGAAATGAAGTCTGTGAACTCAAATCCTTTTCCAAATCATTGAACTCATCACAGCTACATTTGAGTAGAGATGTATTTAAACATTTTTTGTTTATTATAATCTTTTAGTTTTATTTTTAATTAACATAATTGTACAGATTTACAGGATACTGTGTGGTATTTCAATTTATGAATACCTTTTGTAATTACCAAATCTGGATAATTAGCATATCTATTACCTCAAATATGTATCAAGAATTTGGTGAGACATTCTATATTTTCTCTTCTAGTTATTTTGAAATATATGATAGAACATGAGAACTTATTTCTGTTGCTTTAATGTAACTTTATACCTGTTAACCAGAGACCTTCATCTCCCTCTTCCTAGTACTATTTCCAACTTTTAGTTAGTCATATTATTCTATAGATACTTTTTTTCTTTACATTGAGGTATAAATCTGTCCCCCAAAATGCACAACTTATGTTTAGCTTAAGGGTTTTCAAAATGAATACTCCTATATACCAGAAATCATCAGATTATATGGAAATTAACCATGTCCTTCGTAGCCTTGTTTGTGGCCCCTTCCGGTTATCCCCCGCCCACAAAGGTTACTGTGATTCTAACCTCCATCACCATGAGTGGAATTTACCTGTTTGTGAACTTTATGAATGTGGAGTTTTATAATAGGAACTTTTACAGCTCTCTTGCTTTGTTCACATACTTTGGAGATACATCAATGCTGTGTTTTATGTATCAGCATTCTGGTTTTTTTTCATTTATGTAAAATATCCCATTTTATATGTATACCACAGTTTCTAGATTGCTTAAATGAATTTTCTACATTCGATGTCTTCAATTGCTTATTCTTTAGTTATTCCTCAACTCATAGTAACCTTCTTTCTACATTCTTTTTTTTTTCCGTCCCACATATTGGTCCTTAATTTACTTGACTTCTTGGCAGCATTGGATAGTATTTCCATCTCCACTTTGAAACACTTTGTTCTACTTTTCTACTTTCTTCTCCCCCTTCCTTCCTTTTTCCTTACCCCTCTACTGTCTGGATTCAGTCTCCATTTCTAACTCCTTTTCCTTATATTTCTGGACCTCTCTCCCAACAGTTAGTATTTCTTAGAGTTAGTCTCAGTTTCTTTTGCCTTCTACATAGTCACCCTTCCAGATCTCATTTATTGATTTTATTTCAGTACTGGAATCCACATATTTGTATCTGAATCTGGATAGCCAGCTGCTTCTTGTGCAGCAATTTTTAGGTGTCTTCCAGGTTACTTCAAAGTCAATGTATTAACCACCAGTCTTCTCTCCTGCTTCTTACCAAAACCATCACTCTTAGCCCTGTCATCTGGTTTCAGTATTCCTCTCTTTCATTCCATTATCTTTGATGAAATATTAGTAAAGTGCAATGTGATCATGTCTCTTTTCTGATAAAGAAAATATTTCCTCCTTGGGATGCAATCCAAACTCTTCATAAAGGTTTTAATCTCCATTTTTAGCCTCATCTTAAGTCACTTACACTGTCACATTCTCTGCTGTTTATTGTTACCTCCCCAGAATGTGCCTTGCATGAGCCTTTGCATTTTGCAAAGTTTATTATTACAAAAATATTCATATATTATGGCTTTTTCAATAATAAAACATAATTACTCATAATCATTTCATTTTAAAAACATTGGCTTGAAAGGCAGTGTCAGAGAGGAATTAGAAAAGGAAGAGGGGAGACAGAGAGATCTCTCATCTGTTAGTTTACTCCCCAAATGCCCACAAAAGCCAGGGCTGGGCCAGACCAAAGCTAGGAGCTAAGAGCTAGGAGCTCCATCTGGGTCTCCCACGTGGATAATAGGAACCCATGTATTTAGGTCAATACCTACTGCTTCCCAGCCATGCAGCAGGAAGCTGTAACAGAACTGGGTGCAGGACTCCTTCCAAGGCAGTCCAGTATAGGATGCAGGTGTCTCAAGTGACACCTTAACCTGCTGCACCATAATGCCTGCCCCTTGTAATTTCTTAGTGAGGAAAATTACACATTAAATTTGAGATTCATATATTTCTTGTATTTTGAGATTATACACATATATAAATGCTTTGTTATTTACTCATATTTTGTCCACCCATACAGGATTCTGTTACCTTTTATGCAGTCATATGCAAGATCAGGAGGATTTTCCATCACTGGAAAGATTAAAACTGCTCTGATAGAGAATGCAATATACTACGGCACTTACTTACTGATTTTTGGAGCATTTCTAATTTATGTAGCTGTAAACCCACGTTTGCATTTAGAATGGTAAGAAAATATTATCATTGTTCTTTTTAAAGTTAATTTTCAGGGGCTGAGTTGCAGTGTAGCAGGCTGACATCCCATATGAATGCCAGTTTGAATACTGTTTACTCCACTTCTAATCTGGCTCCCTGCTGTTCTCTGGGAAAGCAGTGGAAGATGGCCCAAGTACTTGGGCCCCTGCCACCCATGTGGGAGTCCCAGGTGAAGCTCCAGAGAGAACCATCTCTCTTTCCGTCTCTCTGTACTTCTACCTTTCAAATAAATAAATCCTAAAAAAGCAAAATTGATTTTACCTCTTATGTATAAACACATATTTTATCAAGAAATCTGTATCAATCTGTATGTTTTATCGATTCTCCAAAATAGTATCTGAATCATCCTTATTACTAAGAAAGAAAATATGGAATAACATCTTTAAAAATAGCTGCTGGCAATGGGTTGGTACTTTGTCTATAGCTATATGTTTAAAGTAATAACATTATTTTTGGATAGAATTTCAAATTTTGTAAATGAGCAAGTGCCTGGTTTTCTTTTTCACTGGAATTTATGAATACTTTTCTTTCTGTTTTAACTTTAGTTTGAAGTTATATTTGTCCATAGTATAATTTTAGGTTTATACCCCCAAAATTGAAAACTATTTTATACTTAATATCTTATAATATTATATTAAGAGTACAGGCTGAAAATTTAGCAATAGATCAGTAGTGATGGGCCTCCCTGTATTTTTTCTTGCTACGAATTATCCTGTATTCTAATTTTAACTGTAATAAAAGAAGTGTTTCCTGTGTTAAAATCTATTTTTGCAGTCATACTTGATATTTCCATCAAAATGCATAGATTCTATGCTGTTAATAAGAGAGCTGAGGATTTGAAGGTCTAATTTTTTCATCTAAATTCCTATTTATCCTTAGGGCAGTTGTTTTCTGACCAAACATTTGATAGTATTTACTTTCATCTTAGATTTTTATAGGAAAATGTACTTATCACAGCTGACTGCTTTTGTTTTCTGGTTCTTAGGAACCAGCTTCAAATGATTGGGATTGCTGCTGCAAATACATGGGGTCTGTTTCTTCTTGTGTTGTTGTTGGGATATGGCTTGGTGGAAATACCTCGATCATACTGGAATGGAGCAAAAAGAGGTTATCTACTTATGAAGACTTATTTTAAGGCAGCCAAACTCATGACAGAGAAAGCAGATGCAGAAGAAAATTTAGAAGATGTTATGGAGGTAAGCAAATTTAAACCTCATAAAAAACAGTCACCAAGTTGAATGTATCTTCTTTTAGTCACTGTTGGTTTTTGTTGTTTTTGGCACACTGGTGGGTTTCAGGCTGTAGTTTTGGCAATGTGTCATCTTAGATGAATTCTTATTGCCCATTCAGGGCTATGCTTGTCGACTTGGGGTAACATTTAATAGTGTTACTATCAAAAGTGTCGCAGATCAGATGATAAGTTACAAGGTTATCTAACATAGAAGTGAAAATGGCAATCAGAGGACACTTCTTGAAAGCTTAACCCAAGGTTATATCTATAAACTTCTTTAGAGAACCATTGCATAGGAGTTTGAATCAATAATTTTGCTTCCTATCTGTAGTCTCAATGAACCACTTTATTTACACCTGAGATGCAGATAACTTAAACCACTTTTACTGTTAAGAAATATTTTGGGGGCCGACACTGTGGCATAGTAGGTAAAGCCGCCTACCTGCAGTGCCAGCATCCCATATGAGTGCCAGTTAGAGTTCTGACTGCTCTGCTTCCGATCCAGCCCTCTGCTATGGCCTGGGAAAGCAGTGAAAGATGGCCCAAGTCCATCAGCCCCTGTACCTGCAGGGGAGACCCAGAAGCTCCTGGCTCCTGGCTGCTTGCTTCAGATTGGCCCAGCTTTGGCTAATGTGGCCATCTGGGGAGTGAACCAGCAGATTGAAGACCCCACCACCACCACCTTTTCTCTGCCTTTGCCTCTCTGTAACTCTGCCTTTCAAATAAATAGATAAATCTTTAAAAATAAAAAAATAAATACTTTGGTTGTGGATTTAAAGAGATTATTGTAGTCACTTCACATTTTTTACTCCACTAAGAAAAATGCACCATTCTAATTATGTTAAATGTCCAACTTAAAATTTCACATTTTTTTTAGATTTTTTTTTAAGATTTATTTCTTTATTTGAAAATCAGAGTTACACAGAGAAAGAAGGAGAGGTAGAAAGAGAGAGGTCTTCTATCCGCTGGTTCACTCCCCAGATGGCTGTAATGGCCGGAGCTGTGCTGATCAGAAGCCAGGAGCCAGGAGCTTCCTCCAATTCTCCCACGTGGGTGCAGGGGCCCAAGGACTTGGACCATCTTCTACTGCTTTCCCAGGCCACAGCAGAGAGCTGGATCAGAAGTGGAGCAGCTGGGTCTCAAACAGGTGCCCACATGGGATGCAGGCACTGCAGGTGGTGGCTTTATCTACCATGCCACACTGCTGACCCCTGAAAGCTTTTCATTATATTAAACACCAAAATGTTTTAATATGGCCTACAAAAATTAGTTTTACCCATTTTAGCTCTCTAGACTCATCCCAAGCCTCTAACTTTCTCATTTTGGTTACTTTTTTTTCTATAATTTGCTAATGATAATGAAATAATAAACAGTTGTTTAGACTTACTATTTGCCTAACACTCAACTTGATTCCTCAAACTTAATATTGGTGAGGATAGCAACAATTATATAGACTTACTATTTGCTGAAGATTTTTAACCTCTTTATATATATTAGTACATTTAATTCTCACACAACTTTAGGGAAAAATTTTTTATCTGCATTTTATAAATGCAGAAAACAGGGTACAGAGAGATTAAATAGCTTTCCCATGTTCATACAGCTAATAAGTTAGAGAGCCAAGCAGTCTATCATTAGTTCATGCATTATATGGCTGACAAATTTTTTCAGTAAAGGACTGGATGGTAAATATGGTTTTGTGTGCCATATCATCTCTGTTGGAACCACTGTGTCATTGCAGTGTGAAAGCAGCCATAGGCAATACATAAATGAATGAGCCTGACTGTAGTCCAGGTTGAGAACAGGTGGTGAGCAGAATTTGATCTGCCTTAATGATCCCTACTCTTAGCCATTATACTCATTGCCTCTTTTCTGTCTTTGAGTGTTCTATTGTCAACCCCTTGGGATGCTATCTTCTCTGATCTCTTCAGCTAATTCTTACTTCACTTTCAGTTCTTAACATAAGTTCTTCAGGGAAGGCTACTGTATTAGCTTCCTAGAACTATAAGCCACAAGCAACAAACTGGGTGGCTTAAGCAACAGAAATTTATTGTCTCACAGATCTGGGGCTTAACTGTCCAAGTAAAGGCCAAATTCTATTTCCATGTAAATAAAAAGCCAAACCTTCTAATGAATGTTTTGAAAATAGAAGCAGGGCTGGCATTGTGGCATAGTGGGTAAAGCCTCCACTTGCAATGCTGGCATCCCTTATGAGCTCCAGTTTGAGTCCCAGCTGCTCCATTTCCTATGCAGCTGCCTGCTAATGCACTTGAGAGAGCAGCCAAAGATGGCCTAAATGTTTGGACCCCCACACCCACGTGAGAGACCCATAAGAAGCTCCAGGCTCTCCTGGCCTAGCCCTGGCTATTGCAGACATTTGGGGAGTTAGCCAGTGGAGAGAAGCTCGCTCTCTCTCTCTTTCCCTGTCTCCCTTCTTCTCGCTATAACTCTGCCTTTCTCATAAATAATGAAAAGAAAAAGAAGAGGAAGTCAACATAGAAAGCAGAACGCTGCTACCCCCTCATACACACTCTCACACACACAAAAGAAAAAAGCATGATTTCTCTGTATGAATTTCTGTCTCTTTACATTTAAAGTAACTTGGGATCCTTTATATTTTTCTAAATATCTGAGAACATACAAATTTGAGGAGAAAAATTTATCATTTAACAAATATTTAATGTATTTATGCCAAATTAAGTGCTATGCAGAACTGGCTGTTCAGATACTACCTATCTATAGTATAAATTGTATAAACAGTCCTCTATAGTATATGGTAAATGTGATGTGGATGACACAAAGGAGAGATAGTAATATAGAGAAGTTTCATTTCTGGATAATGATCACAGCAGATGATGAAATACAACCTGTGGGAGACCAGGAAGAAGTACCTGGCTCCTGGCTTTGGATTGGCACAGTGCTGGCCTTAGTGGCCATTTGAGGGGTGAACCAATGCAAGGAAGACCTTTCTCTCTGTCTCTCTTTCTGTCTATAACTCTACCTGTCAAATAAAAAAAAAGAAATACAACCTGGACCTTCTAGGATGAGTTGGAATTTTGACACTATTCCAATCAGACATCAGGAAGTTTAGAATAAATTAATGTGAACATATAATTTATGCTGGGAAGATAAAGCAAAGTAGGGCCTTGAATGCCATACTGAAAAGTCAAGACTGTCTTTTGAAAGTGGCGAGGAATCATTGTGGCGAGGAAACATTGATGCTTCTAGGTAGGCAAGACATGATCCTATATGTGGTTTTGGTTGATCAGTCTGATAGAAGTGTACAGAATGTAATGTAGAAAGAAATTGTGATGAATTACTTGGTTTGAGAGTAAACTTAAAATATGCTAGTTCTCATTACATCTTTTAACAGATCACAAATTCTATTATTGTTTCTTGGTAATTATTTTTTCAGCTATCCATATAACCCTCTACAGCTTTATAAAAATTGGTTTAGTACTTTGTGATGTTTTTCATTGAAATGAATATATTCATCTGTGTGTCTATTTTCTTTAGATGTTAGTAAACTTACAAGCTATGTCAAGCCATTTCAAAGGTATTTGCCAGATGATCTGAAAGGTTGCAGCTACCTTTTATTATTTTTCTAAGCAGAGAATTTGGAGAAGGGAGAAGCAGCTACTTATTTTCACTGAAAACTACCTATTAGCAAGCCTGCAGGGACGTTATCTGGCATTCTTAGGATGAATTGATTAAGCATAGTAGCAAAAGAACCAAAGGTTATGATGTTTTGTGTGAAGAAAACAAAGTTAATATTTTAAATAATTTTATAAAAATTATAGTTTTTGAAGAAAACAAATTTGTAACATCTATCAAATACTAACAACTATTTCAGTAGTTTTGCTTAGTATGGCTAAATAATTTCCAGAAAAATAAGATATTTCATGAATAATATATAGCCAGATTGTATAATTCATATCCAAAGTAGGATAAATTTATACTAATAGTCAACAAACTTTAAGTCAATGATGCTTCAAGGTGACAATTTGAAAATTCAAGTCTGGGGGCCGGCGCCATGGCTCAGTGGGTTAATCCTCTCCCTACGGTGCCAGCATCCCATATGGGTGCCAGTTCTAGTTCTGGCTGCTCCTTTTCCAATCCAGCTCTCTGTTATGGCTTGGGAAAGCAGTGGAAGATGGCCCAAGTCCTTGGGTCCCTCCTCCCACATGGGAGACCAGGAAAAAGCACCTGGCTTCTGGCTTCAGATCCGCGCAGCTCCGACCATTGTGGCCATTTGGGGAGTGAACCAATGAAAGGAAGACCTTTCTCTCTGTCTCTCCCTCTCACTGTCTGTAACTCTGCCTCTCAAATAAATAAATAAAATATTTAAAAAAAATTCAAGTCTGTTTTTGTCACTGTTGTATTTAGGCCTTACACATTGAACTAAAACCTCTAACTATTATTAAGGCCTTCAAGGAATGATTTTATTTTGCCTCTTTACAGAGGAACGTGTGTTGGTATGGATTATTCACGGAGTGCATATATTCTAAGTTTTGACAAGATATCGTTAAAGTACCTTCCAAGTAGATTTTATCACTTTTTCTTGTGCATAAATTCTGTTTTCTCATGGTCATTCATCATTACATTCATCAAGTATATCATTTTTAAATAGTTTTACAGGAAAACTGTTCTCATTTTGTAAATGTGTAATTTTAAAAAAGATTTATTTTAAGGACAGAGCAGCAGAGAGGAGAGAGAGTAATGTTTTCCCATCAGCTGTTTCAATTCTCCAGATGGCTGCAACAGACAGAGCTGGGCCAGGCCAAATCCAGGAACCAAGAACTCCAACTGGGTCTCCCTTGTGGATGGCAGGGACCTAAGTACCTGGGCCATTTTTATGCTGTCTTTGCAGTTACATTAGCAGGGATCTGGGTTGTAAACAGAATAGCCAGGACTCAAACCAGCACTCTGATATGGAATACCACCATCACAAGTGGTAGCTTAACCAGCTGTGCCACAACACAGCCTCTGTAATTGTGTTTAGTGTGCTTGAGCATCATTAGATGTTTATTAACCAATGGTATTTCTTCTGTATTCCTTTTTTTCTGTTTGTAACAGCACTCTGCATACTAAAATTATTGATTTTTTCATGTAAATTATATTCTTTCACAATTTTGTTTGTCAGGTGATCTTTCTGCCTCTAGTTTTATATTCTTGAAAGCCCTTCTCTACCCTTCGGTTATAACGTTATTTTCAATATCCTGCTCAATTGTCTCTTGCTGTCCAGCTTGTGAACCTGCTGTTCCTTCTGCTTAAACAGTGGCTCAAACTTAAAAAAAAAAAGTCGAAAAGTCATGAATATTATGGAATATTGTGATTCCTTAGCAACTACTGGCTCTAAAGATTCTTCTTCCTTCCCTTTTATGCATTTTATGTTCATTAAATTACTTATTCATTAGCACAAAACTATAATTTTGGGGAAAGACTACTAATACTGTATTTTCCTACCCTATCCGTGAGTATAGATTATGGTGGCCTTCCAACATAGTGCTGGCATATAGTATGCTCTTAAAATAGGCAAGTGTACAGTGAATCAGTCAATTGAAATTGTGCTATAGTATTCTATTGGAAAAGAGCCTGCACTTTGGGACATGTTGCCTTTTTTGCTTCCTCTAATTTCTTCACTTTGTTTTAGATAATGAGATAATTGATCTTGATCTTGATGAGCAAGGTGGAGGAATACAATCCTGTTCTTTGAGGATCACCAAGTTTGTCTGATCCTTTGTGGACTTATTTATAATGTTTATTCATCTTTGTGTACCAAGTAAGCAAATGATAATGGAATAAATCTGGAAAGTAATAAAAATGTGAGGGTCTAGATAAGGACTATTTGTTGACCTTGTAATTTTACGTAAGAACCTTTATTCAGTGAAAAGGACATGTAATGCTAAGTAATATGAATTGAAATTACACTTGTGAGAATGTATATAGTACTTAGTACATTCTTACGTGAAATGTATAATCTATAGAAGTTGAAAATAGTATTATTTCTCTTACTGTTTTTATAGGAGGTTCGTAAAGTGAATGAAAGCATCAAGTATAACCACCCACTGAGAAAATGTGTTGACACAATACTTAAAAAGGTAATTAAATTATATTACCTCATCTATTTCTATTTAAACTATAAGTTTCTACTTATAACCAAAGCATCAGAACAGTATGAAAAAAAAAACCTATAGCTCAGGTTTTCCCAACTTATTTTCATGGAAATATTAAGTATAAATCAGTAGTAATTTGAATTTTTTCTCTATGATTACAAGTTTAGCATTAATTATTGGCGGTATTTCCCATTGAAATATGAAGCTAGATGTGATGTTGAATAATGTCTAATGATTTCCGTGACACAGTGATGGAGATAAGTTTGCAAGAGTTGCTGTATGTGATCACTAAAAGCATATCTCCTATAAGAAAATTAACTAGTGTGTAATAATATCATTCAGTCAGCTTCCTACATGTTATTTTACAATATAGAGTTCAGGTATTATAAAGTAGATGACATTATGAAATGCTTAACAGATATTTAATAGGAAGACATAAAGTTATGGTTTTGATGCATTAATTTTGAATTAGGACTATTCATATAATGCTAAAGATTATTTTTTACAGAGTTCCCTAGTTGTCTTGTATGTACCCACAGAACTACTGCAATTTTCCATTTCTATATTTTAAACTATGGTATTCCTTTTGACTATAATGACAGTCATAAGAATAAATTTTGAGGAACAACTTACTATTTTATTCCTTTTAGTGTTGTTGTTGTTGTTGCTCTGTTTGTTCTACATAAGACCACTGGTTGAACTCTGTAATCAATGCACAATCATTCTTAGGCATTTAAAATTAACAGAAAAGTGATCTCTGTTAAACATAGGAGTGGGAATAAGAGAGGGAGGAGATATATAGGTTGGCACATGCTCACTCAGACTTACCTCCAATGGTGGAACTAGAAATGTGCCAGGGGATTTCAACTCAATCTTACCAAGGAGGCAGGTATCAATGCCAACGCACTTGGTAAAGTGATAAGTATAAATACACAACCGATCAAAAAGATAGGATATGTGTCGATGAGATTTCACAAATAAGACCAGTGTAAGCAACTAATGAAGAATAGAATTAAAAGGGAGAGAATGATCCTGCGGGGGAAACAGGACACACAGCAGACTATAGAATGGCAGTACTCCTGCCTCAGAATCAACCCTTGGGACATTCGGATCTGGCTAAAAGGTCCATGAGAGTCTCACAGGCATGGAAAGCCATGACACGGTGGCAAAAAACAATCTAAATGAAAGATCCTGGTGAACAAGACCCCAGCAGAAGGAACAGGCCATCAAGGAGAGAGGCGCCTTTCTCTGAAGGGAGGAAGGAACCTCCACTGTGATACGGCCTTGACTAAGCAAGTTCAGAGTCGGTGAACTCAAGGGGCTTCCATAGCCTAGACAGCTCATAGCAAGAGTCTTGGGTGATTGTTGACGTCATAAATAAGAGTGCCAATTGTTAAATCAACAACGGGAGTCACTGGGTACATGCTCCCCACGTAGGATCTCTGTCCTTAATGTGTTCTACTATGAAACTTAAAAACAACACTACTAGTCGAACAATACCTTATACCTTGTGCGGTTGTGTGAGTGCAGCCTGTTGAAATCCTTGCTTAGTATATACTAAGTTGATCTTCAGTATATGAAGGTAATTGAAAATGAAACTCGATGAAGGGTGGGATGGGAGAGGGAGTGGGAGAGGGGAGGGCCATGGGAGGGAGGGAGGTTGGGGTGGGGGAAGCCACAACAATACAAAAGTTGCACTTTGTAAATTCACATTTATTAAATAAAAAAAAATAACTATATAACAAACAAAAAAAAGAAAAAGAAAAAAAAGAACTTAATACTTTATCCTTTTATATTTTTTGTGTTCTACTTAAAACTATTGATTGAACTCTGTAATTAATACACAATTACTCTTAAGTGTTTAATTAATGCTATAACTAGTACTCAAATAGTATTTTACACTTTGTGTTTCTGTGTGGGTGCAAACTGTTGAAATCTTTACTTAATATATGCTAAATTGATCTTCTGTATATAAAGATAATTGAAAATTAATCTTGATGTGAATGGAAGGGGAGAGGGAGTGGGAGAGGGGAGTGTTGTGGGTGGGAGGGAAGTTATGGGGCGGGGAAGCTATTGTAATCCATAAGCTGTACTTTGGAAATTTATGTTCATTAAATAAATTATGTTCAATAAATAAATTTATATTCATTAAATAAAATAAAATATAAAAAAAGAAAAGAATAAATTTTCTAGCCATTTATCTCAAATTTGTTACTTTAAAAGAACTTTTCAGGGAGAGAACTTACCCTAGTCCATATAGACAATAAATGACCAAAGGTACAGCAGTAACTCTAAACTATATATTTGTTTCTCTTTACTATACATTTCAAAAATTTAGCATCTTGGATTTGTCATGATTCTTCTGCATTATTTAGCTAGAAAGATAATTGATAGTTTCATCAGGTACCTACTTGGAATGATTCTCTCAAATACTAGATGCTTTATGTAAGTAAACTTCCCTGCCTCTATCCATACCTAGCTAGGATATCAGAGCATAATGATTAATAGAGGTAAGAAGAAATTCAATGCAACTTTTAAAGTTTTCACAAAAATGTCAGCAAGTCAGAATCTAACTACTTGATGATGCCAACAAAGGAAAATGTTGAGAAAATTAGAAATGCTGAAGACTGAAAGATTTTTAATAAAAATGATTTTTTTATCTTTTTACAATTAAGATTTTTAAAAGTCTACCTATTCCTTTTAGTGTCCTACAGAATATCAGGAAAAAATGGGTAGGAACATGGATGATTATGAAGATTTTGATGAAAAGCGTAATACTTATCCAAGTGAAAAAAATCTGGTAAAATTGCATAAACAGGTAACTTTAATTATTAATTATAGCTATTTTACATGCTGATAATTTGTTAGATTTATAATTATTGCCACAAAAAGGAGATTTCAGTGAGTATATAACTTCCTTTGATTCTGTCCTTATACCTCTTTGAAGTGTTGCAACTTTATATTTCTCAACAGTGATAGCATTGATGTTTGAGGAGGGAGAGCTATTCATTGAGCATAACTGTTAAATTATGTGGAAAAGTTTTGATATTAATATCTTAGTCCCACCCAATAAGTGCCTCTAGCATTTCATTTTCTTGTGACAATGAAATCATGTTTCCAGGTGGGAAGTTGAGCCACTGTTGGATCAGAACAGTGATAGTTCTACCCATATTCCTTTTCTTAGGTGATTTATTCAGTTCAGAGGCATCGTCGAACTCAAGTACAATGGCAGATTCTTTTGGAACAAGCATTTTATTTAGAAGATGTAGCAAAAAATGAAACTACTGCTACTCGTCAGTTTATTCACACCTTTCAATCACCAGAGCCAGAAAATCGATTTATCCAATATTTTTATAATCCTACAGTTGGTATGTAATTTGATATAAATTTCAAAGATAAATGATAATTTTTCTGCAGAAAAAATTACATTTTCACCAATACAGAGGTGAATTTATCTTGTATTATTTTATTTATACCATATGGTAGTACTAAGTAGCTGATAAGCTTCCCCCCAAAATAACTGTTTAATTATCTTATAATATGTAATCCATCAATTCCACTGTCACTTCATATATAATCAAAATTCTATGCAAAAATATATGTAATACATCAAGGATATTTTTATTTGAATGGCAAAAAGACGGACAAAAATCTTCCATCTTTCCTGCCAGGAGTGGCCTAGGGCCAGCCCTTTGGTTCTGGCTGAGGCATGTGGTCTACAATCCAAGCTCCCATGGCAAGTGTCCCACGGGATGCCCAACATCCACAGTCACACCTGCGGGAGCTCGGGACTGGGGTTCTACGTGGCCAGAAGTACCCCCAATGGCTGCCTCAGTGTCCCATTTGCGGCCTGGCTACACTCAGGGCCAGCATGACAGGCGGCCAGAGTCCATCCTAGAGCAGTGAGGTCTTCCATCTGGGCAGCAAGGACTCCTTCATGGCCACCAGCAGCCCTGGCAGGGGCATGTGCCCTGGGCTCTGTGTGTCCACATTCTAGGCCAAATGCTCACAACAGCCAAGATTAGGCCAGGCTGAACAAAACAGTTAGGAACTGAAATTTGGCTTCTGTTTGAACCATATGGACTTAAAATACTTGAACCATCACTTGCTTCCCAGGGTTACTTTATCAAGAAGCTGGAGTTGAAAGCAGAGCCAAGACTCAAACCCAGGCACTCTGATTTGGGATGCAATTGTCCCAAGTGGCGTCTTAACTGCTGTACCAAGTGCTTGTCCCTAATATGTTTCAAAATAATTAGAATTTTGAGCAATTTTATGTCACAAGTTTGGATCCTTTTGTTTTTGTCTTGACATACTACTAAAATACTCCCCTAAGAAGACCTCTTTGTTTATTTACATTCATTAATCTTACCTATAAAACTTATACTCTCTAGTCATCATCATTCTTTATTTCTGATAATTATCATGACACTCCTTTCAAATGTTATTAACTTTATTGTGAAGAAACTTAAGGCCAGCACCAAAGTGTCACAGTGTTAGCACTTCTATTTATTTATTCAAATAATGGTTATAGTTACTTGATTGTTTTTCCTCTTCAATATGAAGATTTAATGACAAAAAAAAAAACCCACAAACTCTCAAATAGCTTTGTCAGAGAAGATTCTTTCAACTAAAATGAAGGGATAATGTAATACATGTTTTTCATTCATTAAACAAATGTTTGAGCATATTAGTGTTGTTTATTGTTGGGTGCTTCATGTATATCAGTTTAAGGAGACAAAAATTTCTGCCCTTGTGGAGTGAGAAAAACACACAGTAAACACATTAAGATTTAAGTATCTTTAGTAGATATTTGGTTATAAAAACTGGGATTTGGAGAAACGTCTTGGCTACAGATATAAATGAGGGTGCCATTAATGTTCGATTGGGATAGAGAAGAATATCTTGAGGACTAAGCCTAAGACAATCCGGAATTTAGAAATAAGATTTGTCAGGAAGAATCAGCAGAAAAGACGGGAAAAACCAGTGCCCAGTGAGGTAGGAAGAAAACCAAGATAAATGAAATGTTTTGAGGAAGGTGATATGTAAAGATGTACCTTTTCGAATATTGGATACATGTCAAGGATGCATACTAAGATATGATCATTGGATTTTAGAGAAGTAAAGTGAGGTAAGACTACAATTTAAAAGCCTGATTAGAATTTAAAAGAAGTATAGAGAATAATTAGAATCAGTGAGAATAGAAAACTCAAAATGTTCTTATATAAGGGAACAGAGAAAAGTGGCAATAGTTGACAGAGAATTGTGGGGGCATGGGGTGGAGGGTCAAGAGAAGTTCTAGCCTGTAATTTAGTAATGATATCATAGGGTAAATTTGGTGAGGAGAGTAAAGAATTTCTGGGATAGTATTTATGACTAGAAGTGAGACGGGAAATAGGGAACAATGAAGAGAATATCCTTAGATTAAGAGGTAAGACATAGGTGCAGATGACATGCAGTGGTGGAAACTAGGGGAAGTTCTCTTTGGATCCCTTTTTTTTCTCAGTGGGTATAGAAAAGCTGATTTTGAGATTTGAGGAGGGAAGAGAAGGTGCAAAGTAGTTGCCTAGGAAAGTAAACATGCAAGAAGATTGAAGAACTATAATAAGCTAGCCAGGCAAAGCTGGTGAGCCACTTGAAGCTAGTGATTAAAAATTTAAAGTGAGATGGTCAACAAAGTTGTATGTTTTTCTCTTGCAATGTGTGACTATATGCACATGCTCACAGTGGTCAAGGAGGTGGGTCTAACAAAGATATGGTTGAGTAAAGCAGTGGTGAATAAAATGGCACAAGGGAACTGAGATACCAGAGAGTGGTTTTCCTCAAAAACAGTGGAATCTGAGCTGAGTAAGAAACCAAATAGGATACTAGGATGTTAAATAATAATAATAAGTGGTGGAATAAATGGACTGTTGGTCCAGGTATAGTCAGTGGAGTTGATTGCCAAACAAATATATTGCTTAGAGACAAAGATGGTGGAATGAAATTATATGGAGGGATTGGAGTCACTGGCAATGGAAGGTACAGATAACTATGGAGATGGGTTATTTAAGAAGGATGGAGATAGAAGACAACATCACTGTAGGAAGGAACTAAAGAAAATGAGAGGCTTAGCTATCAAAAGGAGGATCACACATGTAGGAATTATGCTGAGAGTAGGGTTGAAAATACTGAACCCAGGAGCCCAGCTCTTCAATCAGTGAAGTGAAAGTATAACCTTTACAATTTATTGTACTTTCCTTTTTTTCCCTTTATTTTTACCTAAATTCATACTTAAAACCAGAATCCTATAAAGTATTCCCATACACTCTTCACTCATGATCTCCAAATGTTAACATTTCACCATACTCATTTGCTTTATCTTTCTCGACATTTAGTCTTGGATTTTTCTTTAATCTCTAGAGTGTTATCCAGATATGATGCCTCTTTTCCCATAAACATTTCAGTGTGCATTTTCTAAAAATAGAGACATTTTCTTACAAACTAGGTGCAACTATCAAAATCAGGAAATTAATATTAATAATATACCATTATTTACAGATCTTTTCAGGTTTTTCTAATTATTGCAATAATATTTGTTAAAAAAATTATCTCAGCTCTTTAGTGTATTCTGTTGTCAGGTATTCTTAGTCTCCTTTAACCTGGAACAGTTTCTTAGTCTTTATTTGTAGATTGTGACAGGGAAGCTTCTGGAGAGCACACATCAGTTTTTTGTTGAATGCCCCTGATTTGAGTTTGATGTTTCTTCAAAATTAGACACAGTCTACATTTTTGGAAGGAAAACCACAGTAGTGGTGGTTTCAGTACATCATAGCAGGAGGCACATAGTGTAGATTTGTCTCGTGATTGATGATCATTTGGTTAGGGTAGTGTCTTCTTGGTTTTGCCTCTGTAAAATTGATATTTTTTATCTTTGTAATTAAATATCTTGTTGGGAGATTTTTTTAGAACAGTTAAATACCATGTTGTGTTTTTATAATCTTACTAATTGATTTGTTTCTTTGATCTTCCAGAATGGTATTGGGAATGTCTTTTGCGGCCGTGGTTTTACAGAGTCCTTGCTGTGGTTTTGTCCATCTTTTCTGTGATTGTTGTGTGGTCGGAATGCACATTCTTTAGCACTACTCCTGTATTATCCCTCTTTGCAGTCTTCATACAGCTGGCAGAAAGAACATACAATTATATTTATATTGAGGTCAGTTTATTTTATATTCCTCATAAATATATGTCAGCTCATAGTATGATCTTTAACTGTTATATCTTTTATCCCTGTAGTTCTTCTGCTATTGATGAAAGCATTGAAGTTTCCTACACAGTTATTATTCATACTTCTAAAAATAAGCTTCATCAGCTTGCAGACTATAAAAACTAAGAATGGTATTTGAGCAGTGATGAAAAGGTGTAAGATAGTGTAGAATTCTTTTATGGGAGTACTTTGATCCTCTATGCCAGTAGCACTACATAACTTAATAGTTCATTTGAAGAGTTGCCAAGCAAATGGGAGAACAGACTCACTTCAAGAGGTAGATTTGGAACTTAAGGACTTAGGAGGTTTAACTCATTGGAATGTAGATTGTTTACATGATTTCATTTTCTTGATGTGATTTTAAAAATATTACTCTATTTAAAATTTAGATCAATGAATGTTAGTTGGAAATAAAAGGTAATGCTTGAGATAGTTTATAAAGTGCTAGTTTAAGGTGTATTAGTCTTACACTGTTTTGCTTTTGTTTTTTTCTAGATTGCTTGTTTTCTTTCCATCTTTTTCCTAAGTATCTGTGTTTATTCTACCGTGTTCAGGATTCGTGTATTTAACTATTATTACCTGGCTTCACATCACCAGACTGATGCTTACAGTCTTCTTTTCAGTGGCATGTAAGTAGGGTTGTGTTTTAAAAAATGAGAGAAATGTATTTTTATGGACATCTCCATTTCTTGTTGTCTGTGAGTGTTCCACCAACACCTATATTTCTATGAGCTGGCTGATTAGGCTTAAATATTAAATACATAGCTGTTGATAGGCAGCTAAATCCTGCTTGAGATTTAAGATTACAATAAGTGTGCTAGGTTAGGAGGAAAAAAGAAAGATGTAGTAAGCCTGAATTTATTAATCAGAGCGTCAGTAGATAGATTAGTAAATAGTAGCAACATTCAGAGTTTATAGACTAAATCAGAACCTAGAAAGTATTTAGAGATTCAGTGGCCTCAAACTGAATTGAGCAGGGTTGAGAAAAGAACAGGAATAAATTTTCCTCAAGAAGTTCAGTTTAAGAGAGCAGATTGTGGAGCCGGCGCCGTGGCTCGCTTGGTTAATCCTCCACCTGCAGCGCCAGCATCCCATAAGGGTGCCGGGTTCTAGTTCCGGTTCCTCCTCTTCCAGTCCAGCTCTCTGCTGTGGCCCAGGAAGGCAGTGGAGGATGACCCAAGTGCTTGGGCTCCTGTACCCTCATGGGAGACCAAGAAAAAGCACCTGGCTCCTGGTTTTAGATCTGCGAAGCTCTGGCCGTAGCGGCCATTTGGGGGTGAACCAAAGGAAGGAAGACCTTTCTCTCTGTCTCTCTCTCTCTCTCAGTCTAACTCTGTAAAATAAAAAAAAAATAATGATAATAAAAAAAAGCTGATTGTAGTTTGGACTGGGTTGCACAATTTTGGATATTACAAAAGCTGGACTTAGGGAAGTTCACAGAGGAATTGATATCTGAAACATTTTCAGGACATTTGTTTGTTTTAAATCTAATTTTAGACTCAAAGGAAGTAGTGTAAAAATTCTGTTATTCTATGTAACCTTATATAACTGCTGTACAGTATCAAAACCAGGAAATTTACATTGGAATATTACTGTTACTTACACTATAGACTTAATTTATTTTTGTTTTATCTTTCATTCATTTGTGTTTGTGGATTTCTTATGTGTGTGTCTGTCTGTATGTGTGTGTGTGTTTCCTGTATCCATCCAACAGTCAAGATACAGAACTGGTCTATGACCGCAAAAGAACTCCCTCATATTATTTCTTTGTATTTGCACCCCCATTCCTATTCCTTCTGCTCCCAGCTATACAACTCTCCAGTTTTGTAAGTTACTCTTTTTATCTGAACAAAACTGAACATTTTTTTATAGGTGTAACTATCAAACTGATACATTTTAATGCAACTTCAGATTGTTATGTACTGAGTACAAATTATGTTAAGGATGCTACTGTCTGTTGTGCTCTGAAATGAATTGCACAGGTGGTAAAGTTGAAGGAAGGACATGCAAGGTTGCCTTGCAAGTTGCAGAAATAAAGCAGTGGCACCAAAACAGGCAGGCTGAGGCTGTAGTGTTGCCATGTAGGTGTTGGTGTTCTTAAGTGGTTGTGATTAAAAATTTCAGCATGTCTCCAAATATATAAGGGCAGTTCACATTAAGAATTCAAGCTATATATTGTGACTTCAATAAATTCACAGAAAAATGGAATTAAAAGTTAAAATTTAAAAATACCAACTTTATTTTATCAATTTCAAGACCCTGAAAAACTGGGGGTGGGGGAGGGTCCTGGGAATTTAGTCATGTCAAAAAAAAAAAAAAAGCAAAATGGATTCCTATCAAGGACTTTTTAAAACTAGGAAACAGAAAGAAGTCAGGATGAGCCAAATCAGGATTGTGTCATGGACAACCAATGATTTCCCATCAACACTCTAACAAAGTTGCCCTTGTTTAATGAGAAGAACAAGCAGTATTGTCATGATGGAGGACTCTCTGGTGAAGCTTTCCCGGGTGTTTCTGTGCTAGAACTGTAGCTAACTTTCTCAAAACATACTCATAATAAGCAGATGTTATTATTCTTTGGCCTTCCAGAAAGTCGATAAGCAAAATGCCTTGAACATCCCAAAATACTGTTGTCATGACCGTTGCTTTTGACCCTACTTTTGCTTTGACTAGACCACTTCCACCTCTTGGTAGTCACTGATTTTGTTTGTCCTTTGTCTTCAGGATCATACTGGTAAAGCCATGTTTTATCTCCTGTTAGAGTTCTTCAAAGAAATGCTTCAAGATCTTGACCCTACTTAAAACTGGCCCTGCCACCCATGTGCCACCCTCTCCCCCTCCCCTTACGTTTTCCCTTCCCTTTCTCCCTCCCCCATCTCTCAAGTGAAATAAATAAAATATCTCTACTTGTGTCTTTCGCTGATCTTGGCTCAATAGTTTTAGCACTCATCTTGTAGAAGATTTGCTACACTTTAATTTTTCATCAGAATTATGTAAGCTGCACCAGCTGAGATGTCTGTGGTATTGGCTGTTGTATCTGCTATTCCTCATTAGTCTTTTTCAGTTAGAACGTGAGCAAGATTAATTTTTTTCCTATCAAACTAATGTGAATTGTCCACCACTGTGGGCTTCAATTCAACATTATCTTGTCCCTTCCTAAAATGAGTTACCAGTTTTAAACTGCTGATTTCTTGGGACGTTGTCCCTATAAACTTTTAATAAAATGACAGCGCTTTTATCATTCTTTTCCCAAGCTTCACCAAAAATTTGGTATTTGTTCTTGCTTCTTTTAGCAGAATTTTTTTTTTGCTCTGATAGGGGCTCTTTTAAAACTGATTTCTTACTCTGTTTTGGTGCTTCAAACTAAATCCTGTTTAAACATGTTTTTAACAAGTTAGTACCAGTTTATTTCAGTGCAAAAATTTTTGAAATTCATATATAATTTTTTCATAATGCACATTTTCAATGAACTCTTCGAGGATTTCTCATATATTACACAAGTGGATTAAAGTTTAACTACAGTGATATGAAATGTTCCTAATATATTTAACATCATATAAAATGTATTTTTCTTCTTTTTATATATTCTGCTTTTGTAAATATTTACTGCAGGTTATTTTGCCGTTTGACTCCTCCATTATGTCTTAACTTCTTGGGTTTGACCCATATGGATTCAACCATCTCTCACCGGAATACTCAGCCAACTGCTTATACATCTGTAAGTGTGGTCAAAAATAGTTTAGATTCTTTTATTTTATTTCAGAGGCAGAGAGAGACAGAGAACTCTTTTCTGCTGGTTCATTCCTAAAATGTCTGTAACAGATGTTCAGCTTGGCCAAGGCCAAAGCTGGGAGCTGGGAAATGGTTCCCAATCCTGGGCTACCAAATTGGTAACAGGGACCTAACTACTTGAGCCTTCATTGCTGCTCCCCAGAGTTGCATTAGCATGAAGCTGGAATTGGGAGCAGAGCTGAGACTTGAACCCAGCCACTCTGATATGGGATACAGGTGTCCCAACTGGCATCTTAACTGCTAAACCTAACATCTGCCTCTAGATTCTTTATCTATATGCAGTGTTGTTATTGTAAATGTATTTTTTGGCCGGCGCCACGGCTCACTAGGCTGATCCTCCGCCTTGCAGCACCGGCACACTGGGTTCTAGTCCCGGTCGGGGCACCGGATTCTGTCCCGGTTGCCCCTCTTCCAGGCCAGCTCTCTGCTGTGACCAGGGAGTGCAGTGGAGGATGGCCCAAGTCCCTGGGCCCTGCACCCCATGGGAGACCAGGATAAATACCTGGCTCCTGCCATTGGATCAGCGCGGTGCACCGGCCACAGTGGCCATTGGAGGGTGACCCAACAGCAAAGGAAGACCTTTCTCTCTGTCTCTCTCTCACTGTCCACTCTGCCTGTCAAAAAAAAAAAAAAAAAAGTAAATGTATTTTTTAATGCTGGCAGAAAAATTCCAGTGTTTTTTTAATACTTTAATACTTCTCTTAAAGGTTGTATATGTAATTACTAATGACAAGATAAAAGTGATTTTGCTTTTATTAAAAAAAGTTTTGTGGGTCATATAGATTGGCTGAGTAGTTTAAAAAGAACTGATGATAATATTGACTTCTATTTACAGTCATAATGTATATGATAATTTTTAGTAATATTCATGAGATACTAATTTACCTTAGAAAACTTTAATGAAGAGCAAACTTTTAAAAGTCAGTCCATTTATTTCATTGTTTCTGCTTTTTGACTAGTCCAGGTTTATTGGTGTAACTGGTTAATGACAAACTTTCTAATGATGGAAAGGAATTAAAAATACAGAATTATGCTAATTTAACTTACTTTTTTCTTGCTCTTCAGATTATGGGTTCCATGAAAGTTTTATCCTTTATTGCAGATGGATTCTATATATATTATCCTATGTTGGTGGTAATTCTCTGCATTGCTACTTATTTTAGGTAAGAACTTTAACATTTTTTCTAAATATTCTTGATTGGATATGGATATACCTTCTTCTTAAAGCTCTTTCAAGTATTTACTTGGTTTTCAGTTGTTTGTTTTCTGTGACTTTGGGGAACTGGGGATAGATTTTTTTTATTTTTTAGATTTATTTATTTATTTGAAAGTCAGAATTACATAGAGAGGGAGAGGCAGAGAGAGAGAGGTCTTCCATTTGCTGATTCACTCCTTAGCTGGCTGCAACGGCCAGAGCCGTGCTGATCTGAAGCCAGAAGCCAGGAGCTTCTTCTGGGTCTCTGACGCGGGTGCAGGGGCCCAAGGATTTGGGCCATCCTCTACTGCTTTCCCAGGCCGTAGCAGAGAGCTGGATTGGAAATGGAGCAGCCGGGACTTGAACCGGCACCCATGTGGGATGCTGGGACTGCAGGCAGTGGCTTTACCCACTACACCACCATGCCAGCCCCTGGGAATAGTTTGAAGGAACTGCTTGAGTAATCAGATCAGGTTCTCCCTTTGAAGATATTTTAAAGAAAAGAGAAGTAGAGTTATTCCATGAAGATTATTTAGGCTATAAAGTGATGAAATTAATCACAGAAGGTTAATTCTGAGTCCCAGCCTTTGCCAGTGATAGTCAATGGAACTTGCAAAACATCTTTATGCCCAAGTTCTCTTCAATAGGGCTCTCCAATTGTCTTAGGGCTTTCCCCATTATTATTGCTGGGTTTCTAAATGACCATGGCCAGCAGAAAGGGTCAGGTGAGGAGTAATTGTAATTAAGCCACACATACAGAACTGAAAGAGAAATTCTCCTCTGATTTTGGAAAGTACCTGGGTTACTCTCTTTGTGGAATTAAAAAGAATGGCAGTAGAGGGCATTTGGTGTAGCATTTAATCATCCCATACCTCAGTGGCTGGGTTTACATCCCGACTGCAGCTTCCTCCTGGTATGTACTGTGGGGGGCAGCAGATGATAGTTCAAGTAATTGAGTCACCGCCACCCATGTGGAAGACCAGGATTGAATCCCCTGCTCCTCGCTTTGGCCTGGTCCAGCTCCAGCTGTTTTGGGCTCTATATGTCTTTTCCTCTCTTCCTTTCAAATTTTGTTTTTAAAGAATGGCAGAATCTTGTCAGGTAAAACTCAAAAGGAGTAAAGAGAGAGAGATGCCTGGCTTTTGAAATGCTGACTTTCCCTTTCACATGTCATGCATCCTTACCCTGTATTCTGTTCTTTCACTGCTTGAGTGCTCCATGACGTAGTGAGAATACTACTCTGTCAAGATTTTTTTTTTTTTTTTTTTTTTGACAGGCAGAGTGGACAGTGAGAGAGAGAGACAGAGAGAAAGGTCTTCCTTTGCCGTTGGTTCACCCTCCAATGGCCGCCGCGGCCAGCTCTCTGCTGTGGCCAGGGAGTGCAGTGGAGGATGGCCCAGGTGCTTGGGCCCTGCACCCCATGGGAGACCAGGAAAAGCACCTGGATCCTGGCTCCTGCCATCGGATCAGCGCAGTGCGCCGGCTGCAGCGGCGGCCATTGGAGGGTGAACCAACGGCAAAGGAAGACCTTTCTCTCTCTGTCTCTCTCTCACTGTCCACTCTGCCTGTCAAAAACAAAAAAAAAAAAAAGAAAGAATTTAATATTAATCACTTTGCTTTTCTGTTGAAAATTATCTATTTACTTTTAAATCTTCCAATATAATTATATAATTATTACAGATAATATGTATTAATATTGGGGTAATAAGTAAAGAAATAGTGATTAAAATAAATTATAGAAAATTTAAAAATTATTTATGTTTTGCCTTCTCTTAAATAGAATAGCTAAGAAATTATATTTTAAGGGTCTGGTGCTGTGGTGCAGTAGGTTAATCCTCCGCCTGTGGTGCTGGCATCCCATATGGGTGCCAGTTATGTATAGTCCTGGCTGCTCCTCTTCCGATCCAGCTCTCTGCTAATGGCCAGGGACAGCAGTGGAAGATAATCCAAGTGCTTGGGTCCCTGTACCCATGGGGGAAGCCCAGAGGAGGCACCTGGCTCCTGGTTCCTGGCTTCGGATTGGCCCATTTCCGGCCATTGCGGCCATTTGGGGAGTGAACCAATGAAAGGAAGAGCTTTCTCTCTATCTCTCCCTCTCACTGTCTGTAACTCTGCTTCTCAAATAAATGAATAAAAATCTTTAAAAAAATAAAATTATATTTTAATTATCAGTTTTAAAATTTTTAATTTTATTTGAGCAGCACAGAGGGAGAGAGAGACACAGAGACAGAGAATGCTGTTAATAAGAACAGATAGCAAATCTAATGTTTTGAATTGTTTTTCTTTAAGGTAGGAAAGACAATAACAGATTTATACTGTGAAAATTATGTATTAAAAATTCGGCCAGCACCATGGCTCAATAGGCTAATCCTCCACCTTGCGGCACCAGCACACTGGGTTCTAGTCCTGGTTGGGGCACCAGATTCTGTCCCGGCTGCCCCTCTTCCAGGGCAGCTCTCTGCTGTGGCCAGGGAGTGCAGTGGAGGATGGCCCAAGTGCTTGGGCCCTGCACTCCATGGGAGACCAGGAGAAGCACCTGGCTCCTGGCTTCGGATCAGTGCAATGCGCTGGCCATGGCGGCCATTGGAGGGTGAATCAACGGCAAAAGGAAGACCTTTCTCTCTGTCTCTCTCTCTCACTGTCCACTCTGCCTGTCAAAAAAAAAAAAAAAAAATTAAGTATACTTTATATGTCCAAAACTAAGTTTTTATTACATGTATATTCATTTAAAAAGTTTATAAAACTATTAATAGGACATTAAAAGCTTGTGATCTATAATTTATGTGTTTTCATATTAGTAGTTATGTTGACAATATTATCATTTCTTCCTTTCTTACTAGATGGTTATATGGATCAAGTGGTATGCAGTAGGGTAGTACTTTGTTGCTTACAAAATCTTAAATGTAAGGCATCTATATATCTAAAAGGAAATTTATTAAATTTAAAAATAATCAGTAAAAGGGTTTTTAGAGTTAATTTTGATAAGCCTTGCCATTTTATCTTTAAGGAGAAAAAATTGGGGTGGATCATTTTTAAATTATCACGCAAAATGGATATTCTATCACAGAAATGTAGGAAACAATGCCTTACTGACTTTCCATGGTAGCTTGACTTTATAGGTCCATTTTCATTTGAAATGCTGCCATTGTTAGTGTTACCAATTCCTGTATTAGGAATAACACAGCCATACCCTGAGCTCCTATTTAGACTTGTCCCTCTGCCTTTGAAATAAATAATTTTTTTTAAAAAAAAGAATGATAGAATCTTGACGGGGGTAGGATTCAAAAGGAGTTAAAGGATACATGTGCGTGGTTTCTGGAAAACGGTCTTTCTTTTCACTACTGCTGATTTATTTCCCAAATGCCCATGATAGCCTGGCTGGGTCAGGCCAAAGCTAGGAGCCAGGAATTTAAAACATGGCTTCCAGGTGGGCAAAAGGGACCCAACTACCTTCCCAGAGACAGTGATCTATTTCAGGGCTTCTCATCCTACAGCATTCTCACAAAGATATGAAGATGGTTAAGGGATGTTTAAAGTCTCAGAATTAACATTAGCTTATTTGCCTGAAACCCCAATTTTACTCAGTGGTAATTCATATAAAACATTCCTTTTAAATTAAAATAGACATGAGTATATTTTGAATCAGTCGTGTGCTTATATATTTTTAATATAAAATGCAGGATCTTCTTTTAACTGCCTCTCTGTTTTCCCTTCCTGGCACTTGCATGCACACACATACTCTTTTTTTTTTTTTTTTTTTTTTTTTTTTTTTTTTTTGAGATTATTTATTTGAAAGGCAGAGTTGCAGAGAGGCAGAGGCAGAGAGAAAGAAAGAGGTCTTCCATCGGCTGGTTCACTCTCCAGTGGTCACAATGGCTGGAGCTGAGCCAATCTGAAGCCAGGAGCCAAGAGTTTTTCCAGATCTCCCACCTGAGTACAGGGGCCCAAGGACTTGGGCCATCCTCTACTGCTATCCCAGGCCATAGCAGAGAGCTGGACCAGACGTGAAACAGTCAGGACTCAAACTGGTGCCCATGTGGGGTGCCGGCACTGCATCCGGCTTTACCTACTTCGCCACAGCACTGGCCCCCATGCATGCTCTTTCATCCCTTTTTTTCTCTTTTTGTACCTCTCTACATATGTAATCTGCTATTAGAAGTAATGAGTCAAAAAGTTTGAAAATTAATATAATAAAAGAACTTTTTTTCTGTCTTAAATTTAAATTATATTTCAGCAGCTTACTAAGTGATGTTTAGCAAAATATTTAACCCCTGTGGGCCTATGTCCATATCTGTAAATTTATGTTTATTTCTTAGGATTATTGTAAGAATTAAATAAGAGTATCTGTGATTGTCTCATGAATAGTAGGATCTTAGCAAAGACTAATGTTACCTCATGATATTTCCTTCCTGTGTGCCATGTTTTCATTTTACTCTTGTCCCTTTATATTGACAATCACATTTTAAGTAAATAGCAAATAAGATAAAAGGTAGTAGCCACCAAGTAAAGAGTAGTCACTTTACAATGTATCTTAAAGGCTATACAGTTGACTGGGGCAAACATTTGGTGTAAGAATTGGGACACCTAGGTTCGAGTCCCTACTCTGTGCCTGGTCCCTGCTTCCTGCAGTGCACACTTTTTGAGGCAGCAGGTGATGGCTGAAGTAGCCTGCCACCCAGCTGAGAGACTTGGACTGAGTCCCTGGTTGCTGGCTTCAGCCTGACCCAGCTCAGCTTTTGTGGGTTATTTGAGCATTGAAACAGCCAATGGAAATCTATTCTTTCTTTATACCTTTCAAATAAATTAAATAATAGATGTTTTAAAGTTTAAATGGAGTTGACTGGTTTTCAGTTAAAAAAAATGGAACATCAAAATAAATTTGCATAAGTAAGCCTTTCTAAACCAGAGTATTCTATTCTTAGAAAATCTGGGTTTATATGTATATTTCAGTATTAAAACTGCTTGCTATGTGAATATAAGAAAAGAATAAGTTGCTCTTGTATTATAGCCATTACTTAGCATCCTCGTATAATTATATTCTGAAGGCATGCTAATGGACAGACTTAACTTACTTCCATAAGAAATCTGATAATAAATTTTACTCTACTCAAAGAAGTCCTGAGGATAAGCTTTTTAGAAAGTTTCTTAAAGAACAACAGGGGTGGAACATTTGATGTAGTGCTTAAAACACTACTTAGGTACCCACATCATACACTGAAGTGCCTGGTTTGAGCCCTGGCTCACTTTGCATTCCAGATTCCTCCATAGGAGGAGGAAGCCTGAGAAGAAGCAACTGCTGGTCAAATAATTGGGTTCTTTTCATCCAGGTGGGAGATCTAGAGTGGCTTCCTAGCTTCTGGGTTTGACCTGGCCCACTCCTAACCCTAACCTGTTTGGCTGTTGCAGCCTTTAGGGAATGAACCAGTGAATGGAAGATTTCTGCCTGTCTCTCTGCCTTTCAAGTAAATACAATAAGTTTTTAAAAATTCTAAATTAGTTTAAAGAATGACAAATACAACTCTGTCAGTGGCCAACATAAGTACTAATGAAAACAGACTTCTCTAGGGGTTGGGGGTGGGGGTGAGTAACAGTGCCAAAGAATACTTATGTAAGTATTTACAATGTGAAATAATGCTTCCTTTTTGAAAATCTGTTTTTATTAGTTTGGGGACCCGTTGTTTGAATCTGCTTGGTTTCCAGCAGTTCATGGGAGATAATGATATGACATCAGACTTAATTGATGAAGGAAAAGAATTAATTAAACGAGGTAAGATTTGGCTTCTAAAATAAAGAGAAAACACTAAGTGTTAAGGTTCAAAATACGAAATGTTTATATAATTAGTAAATTATTTTGACCTATTTTAAGAAACTAAAAATAGCATTTTTAAGCTAAATATTTTCAGACACCCTTCTTATCAAAAATAGTTTGAAAACATAAAAAATTATTTTGTCAGTTTTTAAGAAATTCTGGGACAAACTATTAGTATGATTGCAACTAGATAAAGCCCTTGTGTGGTGTAAGAGTCTTTTTTATGTTTTCTTTGAAACATATTTGCCAAGTTCTATACAGCCGTAAACCTCATGAATTTAAGGAATTATCAGTTTGATACTGCCTGGGAAGTCAAGCTAAACCTGTTTAGAATGTAGTGATCATCAGCAGCCTGTTAGAATACATTGCACTCTACTAGGCTATAATCACAAACCAAGTGTATTAAATTTACTGATATTTAAGTGAGGTAGAATAGGGAGAAAATAGCTGAGGACGTTGGTTCTTAGACATTCTTTACAAAAGCTGGTTTAGCTTTCATGCACTGTCATGGGAAAATAGTGTTTAGTGGATGTATTTTTGTTTTGCACTAATTAGTCCTCATCTGTCCTGGGTAAGATTTTATCACATCAAGTCCTAGGTAAGATTTGATGAGAATAAGACTAATAAATAGAATATATTTAGAGGGAGGGAGTAGCCAGAATTACACATTTGTAGAACATATCCTATGGGAAAAAAGGGTGGGGGAGAACACTAAATGTGTAACCTGAAGAGACTAACAGGTGAAAAGACTCTTATACAGAAAAAAAAAAAAATATATATATATACACATATACATATATATATACATATATATATGCTTGAGTTTAATTTAGAAGATGGATCTAAAAAAGAATAGAAATTGCAGAGAAACAAATCTTGCTTTACCATAAGGAATAAACTTCTTTTACTAAAGCTATTTATATAGAGATTATAGGGCCATCTCTAACAAACTTAGAGTATATTTATCCCCTGTAGGCGAGGTGTTCTCTCAACTCTTTTCCAGCAGTAGCCTGTTGCATTTAATTTGTGGTAATTTATAAAAACATCACTCATAGCCTGATATTTTTACTTCAATTAGTCAATGTCTTATTAAACCATGTTACACCAAATTTGAGGCCATTTTTCTGTCTCTAGAGAAGAGAAAGCGGCAAAGGCAAGAAGAAGGTGAAAATCGAAGAAGAGTAAGTGCAGTATTTTTTAAATTTCCATAACCTCAAAATAAATATGGAATATGTGAATCTTATTTATTTAGAATGATTGGCTAAAGAAAGAAAACAGTGGGAAAATGCATAGGATATATGTTATTTGAGTTGTTATTAATATAAAGAGAGTTCATGTATTTCATAGATATGATTCTAGTATATGTGCTACCAAAGTGAGCACTCACAGATATGATTCTAAGAAGATAATCATGCTCCCCACCCTCACTCCTTCCCTCAGTACTCCCTCCTTTCTTTTTTTCCTTTAATATTTGCAATAGGATAATTTCCATTTATAATGTGCCAGTAACCATAATGTTCAAAAAGTAAAAAGTAGAAAGACCAGTATTCCACAGGAATGTAGACAAGGGCTATAAACAATAATCAAAATCATAAGATGTCAGTTTCATTCTTATAGATTGTTTTGTTTTTATATCCTATATCAACTACCACATATCAGAGAAAACATCATATTTGATTTTTGGGGGACTGGCTTATTTCACTAAACAAAAAGGTACCTTATTACACTGTTGGTGGGAATGTAAACCAGTATAACCATTATGGAAGACAGTATGGAGATTCCTCAGAAATCTGAAAATAATCTACCATATGACCCAGCCATCCCACTCCTGGAAATTTACCCAAAGGATATGAAATCAGCATATGAAAGAGTTGTTTGTGTCCCCATACTTGTAGCACCTCAATTCATAATAGCTAAGATATAGAATCAACCCAAATGTCCCTGTTGACTGGATAAAGAAAATGTGAGTGTATATATTTGTACACACACACATACATGTGTGTATATATACACACACACACACACACACACACAACAGAATACTACTTAGCCATAAAAAAGAATGAAATCCTGTCTATTTATTTATTTATTTATTTTTGACAGGCAGAGTTAGACAGTGAGAGAGAGAGAGACAGAAAGAAAGGTCTTCCTTCCTTTGGTTCATTCCCCAAATGGCCGCCACTGCCAGCGCTGCGCCGATCCGAAGCCAGGAGCCAGGTGTTTCCTCCTGGTCTCCCATGCGGGTGCAGGGCCCAAGCACTTGGGCCATCCTCCACTGCACTCCCAGACCACAGCAGAGAGCTGGCCTGGAAGAGGAGCAACAGGGACAGAACCGGCGCCCCAACCGGGACTAGAACCCAGTTTGCCGGAGCCGCAGACAGAGAATTAGCCTAGTGAGCCACGGCGCCGGCCAAATCCTGTCTTTTGTAACAAAATAGATGTGCCAGGATATATTTTTAAAAAAGGAAATTTTAACATTTTCAGATATATATGCTAGATGTTGTCAGACCAGTTCTAAAATGTCATAATGATAAATTACTTTATTTGTGCCCAACATCAAGCATTTTTTTCATTAGGTGGATATTCAGTAAATGTTTATTGAATGAATGAATGAATTTATGTACTCTTACTATTAAAGTGGTTTTAATTACTTTGAAATTATTATACTTTTTTGTAATATGACATTAATTTACTCTTAGTTTTTCTTTGGTCCTCCATTTGCTGAAGCAAACCTCCTCCTAGACAGAGAGAAAGCAAAAAATTAGACAAATCTAGTCATAATTACCACAAATTTCTAAAACTTGTGCTTACTGGGGAAGTGAAGACTAACGGGAGACTTGACAGTTGTCTTCATATAGTATAGCCTATGTCATGTAAATGGGAGTCTTGCTCTTTATTTCAGAAAGCATAGCTGAAACCAGAGTTGAAGTTACTGGCAATAGATTGCAGTTCTCTGAAAATGTCTAACTTCCACAATTTATCAAAATTGCAGTAGGGTGCTCAGACAAAAAATTCAAATCCCTCTAGTCAAATGAGACCCTGCTATGCGCAAAAGGTTGAATTAGGTGACCTCATGACCCTTTGATTCTAAGAATATAATGAGTAGAATCCCTGTTAATGTAGTTTTGCTACATTTAAGATAGTTTGTAATTCCATGTGAGTCATAGTCTAATTGTGCTTGTAAATAACTTTAGTTTTGTTATTGGAAATGACTTTTCAGATTTCCAGTATATTTGTAGTTGATTTGAGTGAAAGAAAATTTTGTTAGCATCTTGTTCAGCATTATGGGTTTTCATAATTTTTATATAGTGTGGTAAGCTTGTAATTTTAATATTGTTATTTTAGATAGAATAATAATTTTTGCATAACCATGACTAGGAAAAAATCTATAAATGTCTTCATTAAAAATTTAAAACTTACAGAGGCTAATTTTAATAACTCATGTAAAGATAGAGACCATGATATATTATTTTAAGTGCACTTTAACTATATTAATTGCTAATAAATTTCAGATGAAAAAGAAATTATATTATCCTATGTATATAATCGTTTGGCACTTAAGATTTATTTTCATTTCTTTTATTTTTATTTCTATTTCCTTCCTAGGAGTGGAAAGAACGTTATGGACACAATAGAGAAGATTCCACAAGGAACAGAAATACATATATGGATCTAAAAGAGTCGAACTTCTCAGATGTTAGTACTAACCGGTGTAAGTAGATTATTTTCTAGTTTGCTTAGAAATTGTTTTCTTATGCTTGCTTGCAAAGAGACTGAAAGTTGGGGTACCCATTGAGAAATGGCTTCATAGAATTGTGAATATGCATCTGCAGTGACTTTCCTCTCTCACATCCCTTGGGAAAACGGAGGTACTAGGGGACGTAGAAACTGGGAAATCGAATGAATAGTTGTAACACTAACCTAAAAAAAATAAGCACTTATTCCAGACATATTCTAGCTAGGTGCTTATTTCTACAGTTTACCTTGATGTTTTTCTTTACTTTTATCTTAGTAGATATAAGTTATTCGGTCATTTCTGTACTGATTTCTGACCGTCCCATGTATGGCGGCACTTTCCCAGCTATACAGCAATATAGAGAAGAGATATTTCTTGTCCTCAGGATGCTCATAATTTATTGAGGAACTAATACCAGGCAGAAGCCATCTGCCCCAGGAATGGGTTAGAAAACCTTCATATCACTGACCTTGCACTGAAATGAGAATGAAACCATTTGTCCTGGTACCAAGAAACCTGTATTTGTCTTGGACATTGCAACAAGTAGAAAGAAGGCAATTGTTGTTTGTCTTTGGAGTGATGTAATATTCTATAGAGAGCCCCACCGCCGAGGTTTCAGTGCATAGAGGCCTGCCCAAGACTAGGAGTGGAGCAGGAAAACTGAGCGCTCTCTCCCACTCAACTACAATTTTGCACAAAGTACCAAACAGCAGTGGTCTACTGTTGGAGGCAGGGGTAGATATGGAGACAGACCCCCTCTGCAGCATAGGCATGCAGAGACCACTGAAGTCTGAGATTGGAAAAAACATACAGTGAGAGAAGCTGTCTGACACTTGAGGCCCTTTTAAGATCAAGGAATAGCATTGCTGGAGAAGTGTGAAATTTGTGGGAACATAAAGGAAACTAAAGCAACAACAGTCCAAATCTGGATTAGTTTGATTCACTCCCTCAACACTAATAGAACAGAAGAGGCATGCCAATTCTGGACATATTATTGATGTTAGCCTATACTTCCTTTTACACACAACCCCTGACATTTAACCAAAATTGATGCAATGCATAAAAGAAAATATATGTATGCCATCTTCAAAATATGAAATAGTCACATACTAGACCTGAAGGTGGCTCATATGTTGAAATTATCAGACAATGATGTGACTTTAATACAACTAATTACTGTTAATATAACCACTAATAGAGTTAATATATAACAAGTGACTAAAATGTTTAATGGAAAGCTTAGACAATGTGCATGAACAGATGGGGCAGTTTTACCAGAGATACAGAAACGATATAAAAGGGATAAATGGGAATATTAGAAATATTTTAATGACAGATTATTTACAATATTATAAATTTGTCATGAGAGCTGTGACAAAAGGGTATATATCTGATGCTAAAGTTTGGAAATGGAAAAAAATTTCTGTCTTAGGAATGATTTTTATAATAAATACTTTTATTAACAGTGTTTAGGAATTACTAATGCTTATCCAGTGAAGGGTGTTTTAATTAGAAGGAAGAGTGAGTGTAGAATATAGTTAAATGAGAGAACTTTTGAGGAAATTCACGTTTTCCTTTGTGACTAGAACTTGACTGGGCTGACGCTGTGACACAGCCGGTGAGGCTGCCAGCTGCAGTGCCAGCATCCAGTATGGGCACCGGATTGAGTCCCGGCTGCTCCACTTCTGAGCCAGCTCTCTGCTGTAGCCTAGGAAAGCAGTAGAAGATGGCTAAGTCCTTGGGCCCCTGCACCCGCATGGGAGACCAGGAAGAAGCTCCTGGCTCCTGGCTTTGGATTGGCCCAGCTCTGGCTGTTGCAGCCATTTGGGGAGTGAACCAGTGGATGGAAGACCTCTCTCTCTGTGCCTCTTTGTAATTATACATAAAAAACAGAAACAGAGACTTTCGGCATTAAGCATTGATAAGAGGCCCTAGATAGCCAGGGAACAGATATTATCATGCTCAAAAGTTTTTATTTAATCCTGGACATATGATTTTAGTCTAGAAAGAAGCATGAAAAGATTTTTGGTTTAGAAAGAGGGATTTGATGGCTATATAAAGCACAACTTTCAGAGAAGTAAGACGTAGAGTCCATTTTAGAGTCTTTTTGGCAATGGTGTCAAAAAATGCCAAGAACGAAAAATGAGGCAATGATTTGGAGAGGAAAAGGATTTTTTTGAATGATATTTAGGGTACAATAAATAAGAGAGCTAAAGCTTTAGTTAAAGTTGAAAAATAGAAGGAAGATTCACTGAAGGATTGCGGATGCTTGATTACCACAGAGTAGAAGTTTATAGGATGGAAATAATCTGGGTAAGAAGCACAAAAACCTTAGGATGATGAGTTAGAACCTGGTGTATGATAGGCAACCTCTAATTGCTGAATAATGAGAGGAAAAATGAAAAGGCTTGCATTTAGGGCTAAGTTAAGATGATAAAGTAAGAATATGGATGACTTGTCTTAAGTTTTTAAAAAGCTGTATCATAAAGTTGTTTTAAAGACAATTGGATTTTTTGTAGTTAGATTATTTGAAACAATATTATAAGAATTTAGGTTGTTCATGAGATTAAAAAGGGACAATTAGTTCTAGATCTGTTCTCACCCATTATAGTAACCATTTAGCTACATGTAGCTGTTGAGCACCTGCAATGTAACCAGTACCCTAGGCTGGAATGATAATATTTTGGATATATTGAATAAAAGATATTAAAATTAATTTTATCTATTTTTACTGTATAATACAGCTGAAATCAGAGAAGACCCCCTAAAATTCACACTAAAATGTGGCCCCTTAAAGTTCCCTAGAAATGCTATCCGGGGTGCCACATGTACTACTGAAATTTGGGGTGCCTTACGATTTCACCACAGGCTTATTACTAAATCTCTGATATTAATAAGCCCAAGAGGGTTCTTCCCTAATATTTAGAGAAGAATTGTAAATATCGGCACAGATAAACGAGGCAGCATGGTACGTTTTAAGCTTTTATTTAGTGAGAAAGATGCATAGGAGAGTGAGAGCTTTATTTAAGAGAGAGAGGTGAATAGGGGTTCATACCAAGCACCAGGAACCAGCCATGTGGATGAGCATCTAGGCCTTTATCTGGGCCAGGAAGCCTGGAGGACATGGCTCAGAGGCCATGCGCCCTGGAGGCGCAGGGCTACAGCAAGCCCTGTCCTGGCAAGAGGCCAGGGAAGAAGTGCAGGCCAGGTCAGACCATGGCCTGGCTTTTAACCCACTTCCAAAGGGGAGTGGTTAATTAACCTGATTGGCTGGTGGGCACCCAGGTGTGGCCAGGTAGGGGAATGAGGCCACACAGGGGCGTGGCAAAGGCATCAGGTAGGGGCATGAGGCCACACAGGGGTGTGGCGAAGGCGTGATCTTCCAGTTCACAAATCTGACCAATTTTAACCTGTGTGCCTGCCTACTTCACAGCTACTGGAAAATTTTAAATTACATTTGGGGCTTGCATTTTATTTCTGTTAGATCTTTCTGCAGGAGCTTGAGTTGATTACACTTTCTAATCCTAGCCCCCAAAATAAGATTCTGTGTGTAACCAACTGAAAATTGATTTGATAGTGAACAATTTAATACCATAATTATATATTCTATCTCCATTAAGTCTTTGCATGTATCTGCTTCTGAGCTTAGGATAGCTACAAGCTAGAGAAATTTTCTTTCTTATTTTCTATTATGTTGTTTATAATTTTAATCTGACTTTTAAGAAGCCATGGAGTTGTCTTTTCTTATGTTATTTGTCTTCACAAAGTTCAAGTCTTTTATAATATTGATTTTTCTGTGAGTCCATAGACTGTGACCCATAAATTAAAGGAAGACAAAAGAAGTAGTTTTTTCCTCTTTTTGCAGCGGTATCCAAATATACCAGGGCCAATAATAAGGCTGAAAGGGACCGAATAGAACTTCTCCAAGATGCAGAACCTTTGGATTTTAATGCAGAAACATTCACTGATGACCCTCTTGAATCTGAATCAGGGAGGTAAGTTCCTGCTGTGACATTTTGGCTCTAGCATTCTTACAAAATGCTAATAACATACTGACACCACAAGGCTAAAAACAAGCAATACAAAAAAGAAAAAAAAAGAAAAAAAAAAGAAAAAGAAAAAGAAAAAAGAAACCTACCATCTGTGCTACTAGTAAAAAAAAAAATGTATTCAGTAACCTTTGGGGGTCGGGGCTGTGGCTTAGCGGGTAGGGCTACTGCAGTGCCAGTGCCAGCATCCTACGTGGGCGCCAGTGGCAACTGCTCTGCTTCCAATCCAGCTCTCTGCAGTGGCCTGGGAAAGCTGAGGAGGATGGCCTTGGGAGTCCTTGGGTCCCTGCACTCTCTTGGGGGACCTGGAGGAAGCTCTTGGCTTCCCATCAGTGCTGTTATGGCCATTGTGGCGAGCTGGGGAGTGAACCAGTAGATGGAGGACCTCTTTCTCTCTCTGCCTCTTTCTCTTATATAACTCTTTCAAATAAATAAATCTATCTTTAAAAAAATTAACCTTTGATAACTTTTTTTATCTCTAATGCTTTTATTTTTGAGAAATTGTAGCATTCAGTAGTGGTAATTGAAACTGATATCTTCGTACAACATTAGTGGTATAAAAAAGAAAGAATAGTAATAGGAAAGAATCACAGCAATATTTTTATGCCTGTTCCTGAAAATCCTACATATTAAATGTTTTATATTTGGCAACAGCTGCATGTCTGGATGTAGGGCACCATTCTGAAATCAGAAAAGACCCCCTAAAATCTACACTAAATTGTGGCCCCGTAAGTTTCCCTAGAAATGCTATCCGGGGTGCCACATGCGCTACCGGAATTTGGGGTGCCTTACGATTTCACCACAGGCTTATTACCAAATCCCCGATATTAATAAGCCTGGGAGGGTTCTTGCCTAATATTTAGAGAAGAATTCTAAATACTTGCACAGATAAACGAGGCAGCATGGTACGTTTTAAGCTTTTATTTAGTGAGAAAGATGCATAGGAGAGTGAGAGCTTTATTTAGGGGAGAGAGGTGAATAGGGGTTCATACCAAGCACCAGGAACCAGCCATGTGGATGAGCATCTAGGCCAGGAAGCCTAGAGTACATGGCCCGAAGGCCATGCGCCCTGGAGGCGCAGGGCTGCAGCAAGCCCTGTCCTGGCAAGAGGCCAGGGAAGAAGAGCAGGGCAGAGCACACTGTGCCCCAGGCTTTTAACCCACTCCAAAGGGGAGTGGTTAATTAACCTGATTGGCTGGTGGGCACCCAGGTGTGACCAGGTAGGGGAATGAGGCCACACAGGGGCATGGCAAAGGCATCAGGTAGGGGCATGAGGTCACACAGGGGCGTGGTCTTCCAGTTTACAAATCTGACCAATTTTAACCTGTATGCCTGCCTGCTTCAATTCTAAGCACTTTAACAATAATATCTTATTTTACATTTGCAAACCCAAATGAGTTTGAATCCATACATAAACATTTTTTAGAGTCACACAGCTCGTAAATGAAGTCAAGCATTTAAACCCTCATGCTCTGGTTGCATAGTAGGAGTTATACTATGAGGAAAGTAATTAAAAGCAAAATATTTGCAAGAAGATATTTACCATGTTGTTGCCTATAAATAGAAAAATCCTAGAACATTCTGTTTATATCAAACAATTGAGAGTGGTTATTAAATTGATTAATCTCCTGGATATGTCTTTTATCTCCTTCTTTCTTTTTATATCCCTCCTTCTATTGACATGTACTCTAGCCTCTAGAACAGTTGCTGATTGATTTGTAATTAATTGTTATCCTTTTGGATAATATCCATGAAGGATAAATTTCTGCTCTCAGCTACTGGATGGCTTTACAATGTTAAATTATTTTGCCAGTTCTTTTTAATGAGTTAGTGATTTTCTGTGCTCCTTTATTATTTTTTGATGCCTCAGACCATTTCTTTATGTTCATCTTCTAGGTATCAGCCTGGTGGACGATATCTTTCAATGTCTCACAATGGAATGTTTGATGATGTCTAAAGTTTGAAAATATTTTATAGAACAACTATCCAAGATTGACACAGCAGTTCAGTCTTTATGAACATCTGTGTGCCGTATGGTTTCCTTTGTACTCTCAGTGTAAAGTGTCAAGATTGGAAAATAAAAAAAGGCACTGAGAATTAATTACATCCTAGAGTGATAGTTAATTATTCTCTGAATACAGTTATTACCTTTGCTAATAGGACTTATTACCATACAATTTCCTAGGTGTCTGCCTTAGCAGTACAGTTAACAGTGGAAGTATTTAATTCAAGGTAAACATCAGTATATGTTGAGAACAGGTAGTTCAGTTTGTTTCAGATTAATTTTTTTCAGGAGAGTTATTTTAAGTGTCCAAGGAAGCCATAAGTCTTATTAAATAATATTATATAGTTTTATTATTGTGATTTATATTTTTGATGTTTCTAAAAATGTGTTCAATCTGTATTTCCCAAAGAAATATAAGTGAATGGAGACCTCAACAAATAACCATATTCATAATACCCATGTCTTAAACCAAGGCTTACTTACCTAGACATAACTGAATGTAAAAAGCTATTTTTCAAATCTGTTTGCAAATTAATGTGGTTTCTTGCATGTATAGTTAAGATTATACTTCAACTGAAAGTGTCTTTAGCATGTGTATTAAAATCAGGTGATATATTGTTCTTTCATCCTTCATAGGAACTGGATTTTATGCTTTGGTATTGCTTTGTAAGATTTTCATTTCAGAGAGAATTATTCACCTTAATCATATAGCCTATTTATTTCGATGTTGATCATTCCACACAAGAAAAAATCTTAAGCATTAATGATTGTTTTGTCTTGTTTTATTTTTTTAAATAGCCAAATAGCCCTAGAAAATTCTCTTAAAGTATAGGTGGCTGTTTGGCCTTTTGGGGAAAAGTATCTTATATTCAATGGTAAAAACTAAATCCATTTATTATTAACACTTCAAATTATGTTTTTTAGAAAACAACACTAAAAATAGAAACATGTAACAATAGCCCATTCATTAAACATGCTTATTATTTTTAATTTATTGTTTTACTGTTGTGTTTAAGCCAAAGTTAGATATTATTTTCAAACACCAGTGTTTTATTATAAAGTAAACATGGTTGAGTGCAACATGCTTGGAGAGAGTTTTTTATGTCCCTAAAATGTTTGCAACTCTTATAGAATCCATCCTACGCTGAGTGACCATACTTGAGCTTGCCAAAGGTAGTCTCAGCTTAACACCTGTTATCCTGCGAGTACCAGTGCTTTCACTCTCAAGTGTCACCCTAACTACATGATTATATATTTCTTGAAGGTAATCTTACCTTGAGTCATACGTTTAAATTTTTTATTTTCCTCTTAATTTAATGAGTACTTTCAGGTAAATCTTTTAAAGCCACAGTTCTATGCAGGTACTGAAAGGAATATCTATTATCCCAATCATTTAACTTTCTTGATCTTTTAGTTTTTATTATTTTGAGATTAGATCCTCTTTAAAATAATTAGAACTGTATAGATTACTCTCAATTGAAGGTTGTAGAACATACTTACTTGAGGATACACACATACACACACACACACCCTTTTGTATTGTGAAGTGTGGTCAGAGAGCAGCAGGCCAGGCAAAGGAATTTCATACTGCTGTTAATTTTGTGATCAACTCATAGAATGCTTTGGGCAAATTGTGTAACCCTTTGGTGCCTCAGTTTCTTCATTTGCAGAATGAAGATGACACTTGCCATTTACCTACTGATCTACCTCACAAAAGTGTTGTGAGGGATTAGAGTTATGTATAGGCACTGGAGATTAAAAAGACAAAACAAATCCTTAGCTGTGCTGTGTTATTTTCCTAATAGTACTTGAAGGTATTAGAAGAGGGAAATGATTGTCCCAGAAAGGGGTACAGTTTCTTATAATTGCAGAAAATCTTAGAAATCCCCAAAGCAAAAACTTTTTTTAACTAATTCATCAAAGTCTTGTGAAAATAATGTCGTTTTATTTAGTCTGTGGGTTTACTTTGGAATATTTTTTGTAACTATAATGTTTCTTACCAATTGTGTCAGGACAAATGCTGTTATAGAGGAAGCAGAAAAAGAAAAATTACCCAATTTTATAACAAATTTTATAGTGTCATTATCAATTGATAGGAATGTGTAGAAAAATGTTATTTTCCTTTATTATTTTTATGGTTATAATAATTGAATTTTATATGTACATATACTTAACAAATAGTATAGATCCCTTTTTGACTTATGAGTTATTTCCAAAAAATTTTTGGTTGTTTCTGTGATCCAGAATATTCAAGTTTTTAAGTAAGACTTGTCTTGTAGAATTTTATATATGATCACATAGGAAGGCTACTTCATTGGGTAAGTCTGAGTTCAGAAGGCAATGATTTAACCCCCTGTAGAGTAAGAGTTTATTGTTTAGGAACTAAATTAATATTTGTTAAGCTACCTTGTGTAAGAAACTGTGGAAGGTACAAGTTTTCTGTTTTTAAGAAGCTTATTGTCATGTAACTTCAGGTAATTTACATACAAAGTACATACTTTGAATAATTATTTCTGGCAACTTCTTTTTGATGTCTTGCTTACATAGTAATAAATATCTGATTAGAACGTTCTAAATTATTTTTCTAAATAGTTGTGTAGGTAAGGATATTCAGTAAGCTAATAATTCAAATTAACTACTGCAGACAATAATAGTAACCAGTTAATTTCATGCATTATTTGTAAGTTGCTAATTAACTTTTTTATCCCATAAGTAATATATAACTTTTATAAAAAATTCTTAAAATATGAAGTAAATTGTAAGTCTAATTATTTAAACTTTGCTCTTACCAAATAATTAACAAGGGCTTTAGAATAATTTCATCAGAAAATTTCATTTCAATGAAAGTGGTTAGAGCTAAATCAAAACATTCAAAGGTTTTTCTCTTATAAATGATTGGAAACTTTGACAATCTATATGTTCAGAAAGAAATGCTGCCAATTGATTTGCCTTTAGATTTTATCATTTGATAATATTATTGGTTCTTAAATTTAAGCTAAATATACAGTCTAATGTGGATAGGAAGGACAGCTTTTGTGGTTTTTCCAAATATCTTTTAGCATATTAATGAAGGAATTTCATTTATGTTCAACAGCAAACTTCATTTTTAATAGCTTCAGTAAATTTGAGACTATTCTTGATGATACTGATTACCATTTTAAAGGAAAAATAAGCTTTCAATATTATAATTCGTTGTTTAGTAAGGTGAGTTTTGTCCTTGTGATTTGAGTGAACCATGCCTTTAAATCACAGGTATAAAAGTATATTTGCACTAAGAGGCAAATGTCCTTGAAAAACCTTAGTATACTTGAATTTCCAAGTGTAATGGATTGTATTATATTAAATTCTAAATATTAAGAAGTAAATAGATTTAAGGTTTTGTCTTTTTTTTTTACCTCTATCTTTTTCTGATGATATTCTTTGTAATATGACTTTAAATGTGTTAGCAGATTTTTTTTTCTTTTGTGTGTTTTGTGTACCCAATTGTTTTTGATGTGCAGCACACTCAAGAGCACCTACTTGTAGCTACAAATCTCACTACTTGAAATTGCGGTATTATACGTAAAATAGTGAAACAGATTATGCTGAACAACTAAGCAACATCTAAATGTATGTGTATATATAACATATATACATATACATATGTGCATATATATATATAAAATATGCTGGCTCAGTGTGCTGTCTTTTAGGTGACTAAGGAGGGCACGTCAATAAAAAAAAAAATAACCAATCAAGACATTAACAACCTCGAAACCTCTTATGAAAAGGAATTCATGAATAACATATTTCATCAACTTTTTTTTAGAAGAGTCAGAACAATATATTGGGGTGTCAGGAGGGCTCCTAAACTCTGAATTCCCCTCCATGTAGAGTTACTTCTTCCTAACTCATTACCTCTTTCCTGCCCCGCAGAGATTTGAAAGATCAGGCAGATTTATCTTCTTTCCCAACTGTAGCAGCACAGGTACTAGTTGTACCCTGTTCTGTTTCCTGTTGCATTGGAAACATATGTCCTCACTTCTGGTTTCTTCCATGATCAACCTCATTTAGCTAAAATTTAACTTCTTTTTTCAAAAAGGTTGTCTGTTGAGGTCAACTGAGGCCTTCCTATAATTTTAAAATTTGTTTATACAGCAAGAGTATTGCATATTTCTCTTCTCTTGGATATCCTAAATGACGCATGCTTTCAACACACTCCTTGAGGGAAATGAACTATTTTTCCCCCTGAAAATTCTTTTGAGATTATCTTAATCTCACATCTTTTTTTAAAAAGAATTTTACTGTACATAGTGCAGAAGAATAGAAAAAGTGGCTTACTGTGGCAGACATATGTAGGGTAGTCATAATTTATGAAACTGTACAACACAATTTAGAGTTGATATTGGCATAAGTCTGATCAGCCTACTCAACTAGCACTGGATTTCTCAAAAGAATGCTGTCTAGCATCTTCCCTACTTAGTATACCAAGTTTTAGGGGAGCGATTGTGTATTCATGTTTTTAAAAGCAATCCAATGGATTTGTTTTTGTTCATATTTTGAAAACAGCCTGAAGAATTTTTCTCATTTTAGAAAGTAGAGAATATGTGGACTGTCCTTTAAATTGCTATAATCTTATATATATTTATAAATTATAGCATTGAAAAGTACAAAGGAGCTCTAGTGTGATGATGGTCCTACCTGATATTTAGTTTTTATAAATGTTTTTTTAAGTAGCTAATTATAATATTGCTTATATAGTTTAAAAATCTTTCTCAAATAAGTCTTCGCAAGATCCGTTTACTTAGGACAATATTCTAAAGTTCAGTATTCCAGTGTGACTTTGAAATATTCCCACATTCCTTTAGTATGGTTTCATATATACCAGTACCCAAGCAAAGTATACCAAAAGCCTAATTTCTGTGTTGCATTAATAAACTATTTGTTATTTGCCTTTATCTAATTCAGTTGATTAGATGAAGTAGAAAATAAGGCTTTCAAGTGTGTATCTGATCATGATTTTTCAAACTGTTAATTATGTTCAGTTTTGGTGCATGATGCCAAAATTACCTTTCATCCCTCATTATTACCTGATGTGTAATGACAGATGTTTTCCTATCTGATGGGTGGGTTATAATTTGACTGTTTTTCTCTGAAGATTCTCACTACATTTTCAAATATGTGTTTAAAAAAAGTGGCAAAGTGCTATTTATAAGTTAGCATTTTTGACTTTATGCATAATGTTGTCTCTGGTTTTGACAAGCTCATTGACTCGCAGTTCTCGCAGTTTCTTTGTAGTATTTTAACTTATTGTGATGTAAAGAATCTTGAAATGTTTATATGATTGGTTGTTAAAATATAGGAAAGCACATAGCTTTGCATGAAATAAACTACATTTCTACAAATTACTGAGAGATTTGCTGATTATGCATTTTATTTCATTTGAGAATAAGCTCTTTTAAGTATAGTTATACTTTCTTTGTTCCTTAAAAATTTATTAGCAATGATTACAAAAGAAATGTTTTAAGGTAAGTAATGAATTGCATGTAGATTAGGTTCCACATTTTTTACCTTGTATTTATAAGTAAAATAAAAGTAATTATAAAAATTAGAACAGAAATCATTGAAATACAAAGTGGGTAGACAGAGAAAAATCAACAAAACCAAAATCTTTGAAAGGATCAGTAAAATTGATGAAATTCTAGTCAGACTAACCAAGAAAACAGAGTGACTTTCATACATGTCGAGGATGAGCAATTGGAATTTGAAATTAAAACATTGTAACATTTGCAATAGCATCCTTTCCCCAAAATGAAATACTTAGGTATAAATCTAACAAAACATGTACAAGATCTATATGAGAACAACTCTAAAACTGATTAAAGGAGTCAAATAATTTAATCAATAGAGATAGACTCCATGTTCATTGATAAGAAAACTCAATATTATCAAGATCCCATTTTTCTTAACCTGATCTGTAGATTTAGCACATTCCCATTCAGAATCCCAGAAAGTTATTTTTTGGATATTAGCTAACATTCTAAAGTTGATATGAAGAGCCTAAATACCCAGAAATGTTGATACGATATTGAAGAAGAACTAGGCCGGCGCCGCAGCTCACTAGGCTAATCCTCCGCCTTGCGGCACCGGCACACTGGGTTCTAGTCCTGGTCGGGGCGCCGGATTCTGTCCCGGTTGCCCCTCTTCCAGGCCAGCTCTCTGCTGTGGCCAGAGAGTGTAGTGGAGGATGGCCCAAGTACTTGGGCCCTGAACCCCATGGGAGACCAGGAGAAGTACCTGGCTCCTGCCTTCGGATCAGCGCGGTGCGCCGGCCGCAGTGCGCCGGCCGCGGTGGCCATTGGAGGGTGAACCAATGGCAAAGGAAGACCTTTCTCTCTGTCTCTCTCTCTCACTGTCCACTCTGCCTGTCAAAAAAAAAAAAAAAAAAAAAAAACTAAGTCGAAAGAGACTTACTATAAACTACATTAATTAAGACATTGTGTTCACGATTACAGAATAGAAAAGTCAGTAAAATAGAGCAGAGAGCTCAAAAATATAGCCACATAAATATATTCAGTTGATCTTTGACAAAGGAACAAAGTCAATTCCATCAAAAGTTGACAATCTTTTCAAAAAATGATCCTGGAAAAACTAAACATCTATATGCAAAGAAGTGATTATAGACATTGGTCTTAAACCTTTCACAAAAATTAAAAATTATAGATGTAAAAACAGAAAGCTGAAGACTAAGAAATACTATTAAATTGGGTTAGACAATGAGTTTTTAGGTAACACCAAAACCCCAGTCCATGGGACAAAAATTTTAAAGTTGGACTTCATGAAAGTTAAAATTTCTCATCTGCAAAAGACATTGTTAGAATAATGAAAAAATAGCCATAGAGTAGGAGAAAAATATTTGCAACAGAAC